TTTGTGTTTTTGATTACATTTTAATAGGGTACATTGAGAGAATGTACACTAAGAAGGGATTTTTCGAAAAATTACCCCCATGGGGGAAGTGCTATACATTTATAATAGATACATTTTGAGCCACAACAATGTGTGGCAGGATCTGCTAGTATATTATAAAAATAGCAGATCGTCATTGACAATGGCAAAAGAGTGGAAACATCATTTGCACTTGTTTGCAGAAAGTCTGTTGTTCTCCTCACATAACTGCCGAATGGAAAGTTTGTTGTTCACAGCCAGTCCGTTGCTCAAGTCACGTAATGGCCAAACAGAAAGTTCGTTGTTTGCAGCATCCATTATTTGAGGCGCACGTTATACGAGGCACCACTGTAATTAATTAATAGCATTGTAATTGTAGAGATCTCCAAGTCTATTAACCTCAACCTGGTTTGGATGCCATTCTAAGACTGTTGTTCTGACATCCTCCCACTTCTTCAAAAGATGTTTAATAGCAGATATCAGCATTAATCCTCTTTTTCAGAAGAAAACATATCTCGCCGAGTTTCTTGGCATTCTTCTGTCATCAGATCAGTTTCAGGTTCCATTATAAGCTCTTCAATGTTCTTCATTTCTCAGGTGTGATTTTTGTTACTCCTTTAGCTGCTTCAGTCTTCTTGATTATACAGTATCTTTCTTAGACAAGATTGAAGAGCCATACTGCCCAGCAACAACAGACATCAGACATCTGCCTACTAGAGACCTTTGCAATTATGTTCTCACCTTTCGAAAATAAAAATCCAGGCAAAACTTAATGAATGCCCGCTTGACAGTCTTACAAATACAGGTAGCCCTTGGTTTACGCCAGTTTAATTTACGCTGATTCACAATAATACCGCTGTGCAATTCACTGGTTTGCTGTGTAATTCCCCAATTTTTCCTATGCTAGATTTGACTAGATTATGTCCAGATTTGACCAATCTTAGTGAGACACGAGTCTACTACGACACCACGTGTCATGGCAGATTCATGGCTTGCTGGGATTGGTCAGATCTAGATCAATAGAGAACGTTCCATAAACTGTTAGATTTGTATGAGCTGCGGACCTGACATAGAGCTACAGAAGAATGACAAAGAAGAAACTCCAAGAGTTATGAAAACGGCCAATTTAAAGCGTATCCTTTCAACTATGGAAAGTTTGATTGATGAACTTTGTGAGTTAGACAATGATTGGGAGAAAAGTGCAAATGTAAAAAGGAGCATTATCGCATCCATTTGACCATATTTCGAAATTCTTAATGAAAGAAAACAAAAATGTAAGCAATTAAAGATGGATACTTTTTTCCGAAAAATGTAAGCGATCCAAAACTAAAATTTTTTAATAAAAACATTTCACTTTATTTTATGGTAAAATACGTTTTAAAAATTAAATTTACATGTACTGTAAGGTCTCGTTTTATGCGGTGGATACGTTCTACAGAAAAGTGCATATAAAAAATTTGCATAAAAAAAGACTTTACTTGCCTTGAAAAAGTAGGGATACGTTCCGTAATTTTCTAAAATCGCATAAAACCAAAACAACGAGTTAAAATTAACTTAAAACCGCATAAAAAAGTTTGCAGAAATTAAAAGAAATAGGCTGCTTAATAAATTACTTCGAATGTCTGAAAGAAATTCATATAAAAGCTTAAAATAAACTTGTATTCAAACTTAATTCAGTTTATTTTATTGAAAAGTAATNGGCAAAAAATGAAAATTTGATATCTAATAATTGATTATAACGTAAATAAAAGGGTTGATGTACAACAGTCAGGAGAGGAATGATAAGAAAAGTATATATAAACAAAGACCAGGAAGTTGTATGACCTTGAACATGAGACTGCTTTTTCCCAGGCAATAAATTTTACAACCCTACTGTAATTAGACATCCTTCCCTACTTAAAAGTATTTACGTCTGTGTGTTAAAGTATTTCACACTTTGTTTCCACTGCAAATGATATTTTTTTTCTGTAAATATATATTAAAACTCACTTATATACTTTGAATTTTTTTTGTAATATTATTTACTTTATATGCGATAAATGAGAATAATTAAACTAATTTTTGATATTTTAAATTATTTACTATTAAAATAAACTACTATCAGATATAAAATAGAGTTTTATTTAAAAAAAAAACTACGATTGCCAATCTTGTACCGCGTCATGACGCTACATGATGCGCTGGCGGTCGTACCTAGGACCAGTTTGCCACATGACCGCCGGTGTTTGAAGCCAACTGAATAGATATTCACGAGAGGCCAGCACTAAGCATGCAGAAAACGTCATACGAGGCCAGGAGTAAAACCTTGAGTAAAACTACATTGTTTACTCAAGGTTAATGAAAATTCACGTACAGCGCCATACGACTGTCATATGGCGCTGTACGGGAATTTCCATTACAATGGCGCGCACGTTGTATGGTGACTAACTTGTTAACTGGTGTTGGGAATCCTGACAGGAGATGGTGATTATACGATCATTTTGTCTCCACATTTTTTCCACTCATAAAATCGCCATCCTATAACCCTGGGATGGATTTTACCAATCCATAGCCGATTAAGTGATAGAGAGTTTATTCCAGACTCTTTACCCCCGGTTATTCTCACATGTACATTCTCCTTCCTTGCATGTGTGGCTAGTGCAATGTTGTTTATTTTTTTCAGAAGTTCTATTGAAGTTCCTTAATTTTCCGGTTAAATTCCTTGCTGTTGCACTGACATAAACCTATGAGTTGTTTACCTTGTAGTCATAAAGCTGGAATACAATTCTGGCCCAGAAGCTTCCTCAATGCCCTTATCATTTCTGGTCAATGAAAAAACAGTTGGAGGTCTCTTGTAAATGATTCTGATAAATCATTTTGGCAATTTCTTTATATATTTGAACTAGGGGTTTGTTGTACTTTACCCTATCTTTCCTATGGTCTATTATGCATCTCTGTGGGAGTCTCATATTGTTGTATTTAGGACTCAAGCAGGACCTTAGAGAAACCATACTGTTTAGCTATTCACCTGATAATGTGTCATTCCTCCTCTTTGAGTGGTATCATTGAGCAATGCATAAAAAATCTCATTAAGAAGTCTTTTACACACACAGTTATGTTTCAATGAGATCTTTTACTAAATCCATTATGTTCATTTTATTAGTCTAGAAAGATTATCTGATGATGATAGTTTCAGACGAATTAAGAATGTTTATGATAGTAAAAGTAGCTGCTTTTAACTTTCTTTTTGTGTTTGTATAATATTGCTGCTATTAAATTGTTTCATATTCATTAATTTTACTTTTCATTGCATTTAAATTATATAATTGATTCAAACTGAAATAAATATTTTCCAAAACAAGTTACTAAATTAAAAATGTATCTTTAAGATTAATATTTTTTTAGTATTAAGTTAATTTTGTTTTCAATNGTACCTGTCATATAACACAGTAGTTACATTCCAAAAAAGTGCTATGTTATGAGAATCCATGCTATATGAAACAAAGGACTAATTTAAAGCATGGGATTATGTTCCAGAAGTTAACAAAAGTATATTGTTTTTTTTTTTTCTAAGAAAAATACATTTATTAAAGCAATCAATAATTTATTTTCAATCAATAATTAATTAACAATTACAATTAAAATACTGTATTATATGTTAATATTAATTTTAGTTAAACGACGGCATTTTCTTTTTACAAAGTATCATTGTTATCTTGGCTTTTTTGTTGATCTCGATCAGAAGTATCAGCAACATTTTCATATTTTTAAATTTTTATGATAAAAAATGTTTATGGATAACAAAATAAAATCATGTTATTAATCAGGTTGCATTTGTTCACTCGAGTATCAAGCGACCTTTTTCCAGGATTTGTGTTCGAATACCAAATTGTTCAAGTACCAAGATACCATCATATTTTATTTGTCATATTTACAAATGAAGTTTTCATTTGTAGGTTAAGTATTTTCTATGGTAAAAAAAATTTAATAATACTTATCTAAAAATTCTTAAATGAAGTTTACTAAATACAAAGATTAATCTATAACAGAAAACACGACGACAGTCTTAAGGGCTAAAGTCTGAAAGCAACGATGACGACACCTGGTTGGTAGGAAAGTTAGTGCAATTTTTGTCTTTCTTGTCCTATCAGTTTTCATTAAAGTAAACCTGACAAAAAGCACAAAATATTTTGAAAATTTCAATATTCTAAAATCCGAGGGCGAATTTGAGGTGACACATGTGCTTACTTGAATAAAAAAAATATTGAATAACAAAGTTTACACTTAAAAATTATGAAATTTCATTAGTCATTTCATTTAAAAGCTTTCATATGCTCTTTCAGTCTATTTCTAGATGTGTTTACATATTTTCAATTTATTAGCTGTTGTTATCTATCTGTAGTAACATATTTTATATACCTGCTTTTTTAGTTTTAAAAATTGTTTTCATTTTTAATCAAGTTGTAAATAGTTGGGAGTCGCATTAGCATATTTTTCTCTCTGTAATTCTCAGCTGAATACAATTCAAAACAGCATTGTTCATTGACAAAAAGTTTATCATCATTTAAGTCTTAGAAGAAGACCGAAAACGTTCGTTTATCTGAATTTGCACCATTTTTCTGGGTGAATACCATGGTAGGGAGTTTCCACAGAGAAAAGCAGTCTTTCAAGGTAATTTTTATGATATTCCCATGGCTGAGAAAAGTTCTTCAAACTGTTTTCTGTATCACAATGTAGTTTAATAAGTGAAAAATGCTTTTGAGACACCACTTAGAACATTTTTACCAAACATATGCATTTACCAGAAGTTTCATTATAGGCCCTGTGTACAGTCAATTGATCTCTGCATTGTATTATTTCAGAAATGCAACCAAAAATGTGGGCCACAAGATTGCAAAATTTATTATATTTAATGAGTTAATATTTATTAAATTTATTATATTTATGTCAGATCAATTAATATAAATGAGCTCATGATGATTTAAAATACTTTTTTTTTACTTTTTAGACTAGATCCTATTCTTTATAAAAAGTGTCATAAAGAAGCAGTTCAGTATTGTCATGCAAAAAGGAATTGGTATGATGAACCTTCTAATATGGATCCTGAAAGAGGGCCCATTGTTTTGCCATGTTTATATCGCTATGCATATCATCCAGATAAAAATGTTAGGGTAAGACCCAAATTGATATTTTTCCAAAGTTGCATTATTGTTTTTTTAAAAACAATTTAAAATGTGTAATATATGATATATAAAATTTAAATATAATTCTGCATAAGTAATCCAACTAGAATATATATATGTTACTGTGAATGACTGATATCTGGCAAATATCAGCATTCACACGGTCATTTCATGTATGTACAAAATATTTGTTAAATATCATTATTTCTCACTTACACTGGCAAATGTCGACATTCAGAATGCACTGATTGTGAATGTTGAATAAAAATATTTTTATTACATTAAGCCAAAAATGCAACTTTTTAATATGTCAAAATAGGAGAAAGCTTAAGTAACAGTGCAGTTCATTTTAGGTTCAACAGTGCATAAACTGTTGAACCTAAAATGAACAGTACATTCTTAATCAGAAAAGAAAAATAATACAATAATAAACTTACACATAAATTCTGTGATTAACGTTATACAATCTTATTTATTGCAACAAGTTAAACTGTTATGGCATTTTGAATTGCACAAGAATCCCTTGCTTTTACAACTGCATTTATTCGTGGAACACTTCTTTTTGCAATAACAGTGTGTATAGCCTTGCTCTCCACTTTTCGAATTAGCTGCAGCTGCTTCTCTCAGTGATATTTCTTGAGAAGTTTTATCTATGGAAAGTAACTTTTCTTTACAAATTACAAACTCATTACCAATATAAAGCTGCTTCAAGATACCATTTTTGTTTGCTAATTTATAAAAGTCAGAGTCTTCTATTCCAGCAACAACTGCCAACACATTTTGGGCACATTTTTGAACTCAGAACATGTTGAAATGTCAAGTTATGCAAAAGATTTGGTTTTTTTTTTGTAGGTATGGATGTTAGGCTGTGTGGGGGACACAATTTTGTTCACCCTATTTGAAGCCTAATAACTTTTGTAGTTTGTAAATCCAAGTTGGATGGTTTAACACAGGAGTTGTTGAACTAAATTGTGCCCCCATACACATTCTAACATCTCAGGTGAGAACATCTTAATGGGTTCTACTGTACTATTATAAAATGACAAAAAGTGTCATTTTGAGGGTAGAGATGAGTTTTTGAGATGAATTCTAGATAACAAGTAAAATAGTCATTAAGTCTGACCACACTGGAGATATGACACACAATTCTTTCTATGTCTCCATCCTGTCTACCTTTAATTAAGAACCAAAATTTAATAGCATTAGTTTATACACAAACTACTGTGCCAAATTTTGTTTCCTAAACTTGACCCATTCTGAGATATTATTTAATATCTCTGAACAGAGAATAAAGAAATTAAACAAATTAGATGCCAATGCACACACATGAAGTTTTCCCTTTTATTTGACATTTTTTAAGTTCAGAGGGTTTCCAAACGTGTAGATTTGCAAAAAACTCGGATGGTCAAATTTGACATGATTCCAATACTTTCTTGTTTTATATACATAACAAGTTGGAAAGTAAAAAGGAGTCAGAATCGGCAGATTTTTAGCGACTCTGACTAAAACACCAAAACTCCACGACTCCGACTCCACAGCCCTGGTTATTTGCCTGATGATGTCTATTTTAAATGGATGAAAATGTTAGTAAATATTTCGTTATTTATTAATTACATAGTTGCTGGTATTGGTTTTGTTGTGTGTTTATGAGTGTTCTGCTGTAATTCCTGAAGAGTGTATGGTTTTATTATGTAAATTTTTTCTTAAGAGTTGTTCTTTGGTTAAGATAAGCTTGATGTTTTGAAACAGTACCCACAAGATTTTTATTATCGTGTTCTACATTTTGGTTTGAAGCACCAAGCTTACCTTTACCAAAGAAAAACTCCTTAAATAAATTTGACTGTGTAAATTGTCATAATTTTTTACTTGGTGAAATTTTTTGCATCTCAGATGTTTTTGTTTGGGTAGACAAATATCTACATTAATAAAGAATTATTTTATTCTTTAAATTTGAATGTTGACAGCTTTAAAGTTATCTGCTATTGTTGCAATTGAGTTTTGATAGGAAAAGATGATATAAGAACATTTATAATTTATAAAAGTTTGTGTTGATGATTTTATGTAAATCTATGTAAATAATTTTTATTTCACATATTGGTACTAATGTTTGTATTAAATATTAACTGTAGTTATCTCCAGAATGCTTGTATGAAGTGAGACGAGTCATGAGACAACGAGCAATAAGTGTGGATTTGCACCCAGAAATTGAAGAACCTTGTATCCGAGATCTTCCAAAATTCTGCAACAATAATGTTGAGAAAGGACAGGTATGCTGAATTCCTATAATTTAATAAACTCTAATTTTTTTAAACTTCAGATTCCTAGCATAAATTGAAGATTAAGAAAGATCTCTTCAGCATTAAATTAAACATTAGGATATTAAAATATAGAATAACAATACAAACTTATCAATAAAAAGTTATTCACCAAGAAGGAGATGTTGGAATCAAATGAAACTTTATTATTGCAAGTGTAATGGTAATAACTAATGCCAATTTTATAGCAAAGGGATAATTTCTGGTGGAACAATAATACAATATAAATGAACTTTTAATAACTGTTTTTGCCTGTAAATATTCAGCCATCATTGTTGTGCATTAGTTGATTAAATTTTCAATCATAATTGAAATTGACCAAATAAACTAGTCACAAGTAAATTAGTGATGCCTAATTTAGTTATTAGTCATCTATCATATTTTAATATTAATCTCTGAATTCAATTTTGATTAGTAGAATAATTTTTCATTTATGACTAATAATGAATGACTAAACTGATGACTAATAGCCTCTTGGCAAACTTTTTAAATAAAGAGGGATGTATAACCTCATTTAAACTAGCATACCAGCATGTCAGTTTACTATATGTAAATATCTGATTTCCTGGTCTCCCCCAGATAGACTGACATACTGGACAATTCATGAAAATATGAACCCCCATATAACCCCCATTATAACCCCCGTATTCACCAACACGAGTTAGAGTTAGAGTTAGGGTTAACTCTCGAGTTACTGGTAAATTGGTATTCACCAACTCCGAATCTCGAGTTAAACACAATAACCCTAACTCTAACTCTAACTCTAGAAAATCGGCGAGTAGACAATAACTCTAGGTTTGACGCCTGCGCAAAGCGGTCTATTTCAGAGAAAAATGGCGACATACGACAAAGACGAAGCCGAGATGCTAGAAAATCTGAAATATTTAGATTATATAGATCGTATGGAACGAAGAAGTCGGCGGATTATTTCTCCAAGAAGAAATGACCTTGAACAATTGGACGATTACGACTTTCTATGTCGATATCGTTTGACAAAAGAGAGCGTAAGAAACCTATTAGAACGAAATGGTTTCCTCCTCCTGTTTTAAATAATTCGGCTTTTTTTGTGCCTGTTCTTTCACGGCTTTCTTTTTTAAATTCTTATAACAGTCCAATAACTGTTTGGTTTTTCTAAGGGTGACACCCGGGATACCATTGAATTCCTTTGTTAGTTCTTCCCATGTGCCTCTCTTCACGAAAGAAGACTTGTTTAATCTCGAACGCAGGATTGTGTTAAAGTATTAACTCTAGAGTAGCGAAACTCTAGAGTTAAATTTTTATCTGAATACGAAAGAAGAGTAACTCGTAATCTGACTTCGAGTTACATCTAAACTCGAGTTCGTCAACTCTCTGTTTAACTCGTGTTGGTGAATACGGGGGTAAGTTTGTTTTTCCAACAATTGTGTGATTGTACTTCTGTGCTGAGTGGGCTTTTGCCATCTGGAAGCTTTTCATTTTTGAATTTCTTCAATGGTTTGAATTTATAATTTCTGTTCTGCATTCTATGTTCTTTCTATGTCCATTTTAAACAGATGAAAACATTTGTATTAGTAAACCTTGTTGTAATATTGCTTTATGTATTTCCAATGAAGTCAAATGTCCAAATGAATGTTGGTTCTGCAGTCTGATGTAACAGTTTCGCTTGATCAAAGTTGACTTGTATGTGAGATCCGAGGTTTATTAGGCATAAAATATTATAAGAAATATATTAATTATCTAAAATAATATATACTAGGGAGGAAGTGACATCTGTCGTTTGGAAGAAAGAAGGAAATCAACTTCCTTTTCCACATGGCTTATTGCTATTTCATATAGCCATATGTCACTTTACCCCTCTCTGCATACTTGTTACATATCCTGTGCATTCCTGAGACACTATTGGGCAGAGGTCTCAATGAAAGGGGAATTTTCCTGCCATTCCAGTCAGTTCATCAAAAGAAGTAATTGCTATATTACTTACTGCAGTTCAACGAAATACGAACATGCCATAGAATGCAGTTCATCGAAGATAGAATGGCCATAATGAGTCTCAACAATACTTTATAATGCGCTCATAAAAAGAGAGATCCACATTTTCTTCCTGATCTCTCTGTCACGTCAACTGAAGACAAGAAAAAGCTTCATACTGTGAAGGTAGTATAATATGTTAGATTGATGTAACTCACTCTCACGCATATAGATTAGGCTATCTAAATATATAAAATTGCTTGTCTTGACTGAATGAATCACTGACTGATTCATCATCGCCCAGAACAAACCACTTAACCTAAAGAGGTGAAATTTGGTAGACAGTTAGGGTACTTCATGGAAATGCACACTAAGAAGGAATTTTTTCGAAATTCCCCTGCGGGGGGAGAGGGAGCATTAAGACTTAACTGGAAGAATGACTTCTACTGTACTATTTTAGATGCAACTTTTTGTTTTTATCTGCGTTTTAGTAGGGTATGCCATGGGAATGCACACTAAGAAGGGATTTTTCAAAATTCCTCCACGGGAGGGGGAGCATTAAGGCTTAACTGGAACAACAGCTTCTACTGCACTATTTTAGATGCAATTTTTTGTTTTTATCTGTGTTTTAGTAGGGTATGCCATGGGAATGCACACTAAGAAGGGATTTTTCGAAATTACCCCGCGGGTGGGAGAGGGAGAGGATTTAGTCTTCATCGAGTACTTAGGTGTATTAAATTAATAACATTTCAGACATTGTTATAAATATTTTTATCTATTTCGATTTTAAAAACGTTTGAACTGTTTTAAATTTGAATTTGTTATTGCATATAAGTTCGATTATAGAACGATTGTAAACGTTCCAGAAAATTGATCAAATTGAAAATAGTTCATTTGATTCTCGACAATTCTCATCATTCTCAGCGGTAGGTGTTATATAACAATTACTATGATGGTTGAAATACTGAATATAAATGGGGTTTGCTTGCAAAATTTGTGCGGCAAAGCTGCTGGTAACAGCTAGTATATATATAGATTTATTTTGATCTCTCAGATTATTGTATTTTTATTTCATTTGTTTTATTGAATTTTGTTGTTGTTTATAATGGCCTTGTCGATTAGTCTCAAACAGAGCGTGTATCATGACACTCCCCACTCATCAGAAAAGCCCTCCTAAAAATCATCTTTATAATATGCGAGTTAAACCACGACAAAAATAGATTAACACGTTAACTGCCTGTTGTAATATGATACTTTGTGTCAGGGGGGCAAAAAATGAAAATTTGATATCTAATAATTGATTATAACGTAAATAAAAGGGTTGATGTACAACAGTCAGGAGAGGAATGATAAGAAAAGTATATATAAACAAAGACCAGGAAGTTGTATGACCTTGAACATGAGACTGCTTTTTCCCAGGCAATAAATTTTACAACCCTACTGTAATTAGACATCCTTCCCTACTTAAAAGTATTTACGTCTGTGTGTTAAAGTATTTCACACTTTGTTTCCACTGCAAATGATATTTTTTTTCTGTAAATATATATTAAAACTCACTTATATACTTTGAATTTTTTTTGTAATATTATTTACTTTATATGCGATAAAAGAGAATAATTAAACTAATTTTTGATATTTTAAATTATTTACTATTAAAATAAACTACTATCAGATATAAAATAGAGTTTTATTTAAAAAAAAAACTACGATTGCCAATCTTGTACCGCGTCATGACGCTACATGATGCGCTGGCGGTCGTACCTAGGACCAGTTTGCCACATGACCGCCGGTGTTTGAAGCCAACTGAATAGATATTCACGAGAGGCCAGCACTAAGCATGCAGAAAACGTCATACGAGGCCAGGAGTAAAACCTTGAGTAAAACTACATTGTTTACTCAAGGTTAATGAAAATTCACGTACAGCGCCATACGACTGTCATATGGCGCTGTACGGGAATTTCCATTACAATGGCGCGCACGTTGTATGGTGACTAACTTGTTAACTGGTGTTGGGAATCCTGACAGGAGATGGTGATTATACGATCATTTTGTCTCCACATTTTTTCCACTCATAAAATCGCCATCCTATAACCCTGGGATGGATTTTACCAATCCATAGCCGATTAAGTGATAGAGAGTTTATTCCAGACTCTTTACCCCCGGTTATTCTCACATGTACATTCTCCTTCCTTGCATGTGTGGCTAGTGCAATGTTGTTTATTTTTTTCAGAAGTTCTATTGAAGTTCCTTAATTTTCCGGTTAAATTCCTTGCTGTTGCACTGACATAAACCTATGAGTTGTTTACCTTGTAGTCATAAAGCTGGAATACAATTCTGGCCCAGAAGCTTCCTCAATGCCCTTATCATTTCTGGTCAATGAAAAAACAGTTGGAGGTCTCTTGTAAATGATTCTGATAAATCATTTTGGCAATTTCTTTATATATTTGAACTAGGGGTTTGTTGTACTTTACCCTATCTTTCCTATGGTCTATTATGCATCTCTGTGGGAGTCTCATATTGTTGTATTTAGGACTCAAGCAGGACCTTAGAGAAACCATACTGTTTAGCTATTCACCTGATAATGTGTCATTCCTCCTCTTTGAGTGGTATCATTGAGCAATGCATAAAAAATCTCATTAAGAAGTCTTTTACACACACAGTTATGTTTCAATGAGATCTTTTACTAAATCCATTATGTTCATTTTATTAGTCTAGAAAGATTATCTGATGATGATAGTTTCAGACGAATTAAGAATGTTTATGATAGTAAAAGTAGCTGCTTTTAACTTTCTTTTTGTGTTTGTATAATATTGCTGCTATTAAATTGTTTCATATTCATTAATTTTACTTTTCATTGCATTTAAATTATATAATTGATTCAAACTGAAATAAATATTTTCCAAAACAAGTTACTAAATTAAAAATGTATCTTTAAGATTAATATTTTTTTAGTATTAAGTTAATTTTGTTTTCAATTTTATACAAAACAAAATTTTTCAGAAAAGGTGAATTTTTATTTATTTATTTTACATATATTAGGAAATGTCAATCAACAATAGATTTCTACCTCCCAAATAACAAAAATACCAAAATGATTTTAAAAATACATACATTAAACAATAAAAATATAAAAGATAACTATATATGAACATCCTGAAGCCCAGTGTATTGATACTAAACTAAACAATCGTTTTTAATAATTAGGCTATTATTGTGCAATAATTAATAATTAGAAACTAAGTAATTTGGTAATAGAAGTAGACGTTAGGTGCCATCTCATCTAAATTAATAATTATAATAATTATTAATTTAGATATTTCAGATGGCGCAGGCTGAAGGCTCTATAGTAAAATAGGAAGAAGCAGATATTGTTAAGTCCTTGCACTCCCCATCTTTAGCAATGAGTGCAGAAAGAATTGAAATTTATAAGGACAAGCTACAAGATATGTGCATCAATGCAAGAGACACTGAAGGTTTACCATCTGCATGGAAGCACTTAGTTAAAAAGTTTTTTAAGAATGCCTAATTTATGCCTTAATTTTACATTTTTGGTATTCTGTTTATTTATGATATTATTACATGATATATAATATCTGATTATATATATATATATTCTTATCTTTTGTTATTGTTTGTATTTAAATTTATATATTTTATTTTAGAACACCATTGTTCTAATTTTCTCCTTTAACCTGAGGATGGCCCATTGAATAGGCTGAAAACGTTAGTTTACGTTTAAATAAATTATCTCAGCAACTTACTGTGTATTTTGATGGTCTGTTAATTATTTGCTGAGTGGGTTTTGTTTATTGCTGGATTTATTAAGGTTTAGTTTATTTATTTAATTAAGGTAATCATTTTCTAAAAATTTATTAATGTATTTTTCTCTCCTCTATAATTTAATCTCATTGTTCTATTTATACTTTTTGTTATGTCTATCTTAAAGATACTCTCTTTAACATATAGTGGAACTTGTGATCTATAATTTACAATTTTTAGGAGTTGACCATCGTTCACATAGGCCTATTTGCTAATGGCTACGTTAATAGATTTTATGAATAATTGCTGATAAAAAGTTTTTCCTTCTGTAATCTGCACATTTATTCAAAATAATAGTATAGAATGCTAAGCTGTCAGTTGCAACAACATAAAACAAGTGCAATACTAGATTTTGTATTGGCTATCATATGAATCAGGCATAATTCTTATCACAGACATATTACAGTTTACAGTATTATTATTCTTCACTGGACATTGCTCAACTCAGTCTTTATTGATTGCAAAGAAATATGCAAGGAAATAATCTGTATTTAAAATTTTGTTGCAAAAATTTTATGTGCTGACAAATTTAAAAAGTTTACAATGAGTTGTAAAAAATAGCAATGAATTGAACCTTAAAAGAAATTCCAGAATAATCTATTGCAAATTCTAACATTTTTGATCATCACGGGAGATCTTCCTCGGGATTCTTTAAATTGGAATGCAGAAATGGAATGTTTTTTTTTAATTTTAGTTTTGTATAAACACTTTTATTTATACAACTTTGTTTATACAGTATTTATTTGATTAATTAATTTATTTAATATTTAAACTAATTTCATTGTTAGCAAATTGTTAATTGTATATTATGTAAGAAATTAAGTATATATACAATTAATTATTGAGTTTTTACATAATTTATAATAATTTTATAATTTTAGGAAATGAATTGTCTTCAAAAGAATTTGGATAAACTTAGTGCCAATTGTCAGAAAGCAGTATCAAATTATACAGCAGAAGAATCAGAACACTTAGAACTAAATTATCCTTTATATCATGCTTGCAGTACGGTTTTATCCATTTTTTGTAATGTAAGTTTTAACTTTAATTTTCTTAACGTACAGAACTAAAAGAGTGTTAATAACATAACCAATCTGATAATTAACTTAAATATAAAGTTAATTAGGTAAAATAGGTCAATTTTGGTAGCTTAACTGCCAATTTATAGCCAAATTATTTAATAATTTATTAGTCTTAAGTAGTTCAATAAAGAATCCTGCTGTTTGTTTAATATTAAAGAGTATTTTATACAACTGATTTCAAATACAATAATTTTCTTACATTTTGAGAATTGTCTTTCGTAATGCTCACCATATTTTATGTTAGTAATAAAACGATGCAGTTAAGAACTCAAAAAAGTTATTTGAATATTTAGAAAGAGACAACAATAAAGTATAACCACCAAATAGAAGGTGCTATTTAGACTGGAAAATTTGTCTTCTATTTAGAGGTGCTTGCTATTATGAGGTACAGTACATGCTGGTGGCAAGATAGTATTTTAATACAGTCATTTTATTGTGAAAAATATTGATTACAAAAACATCAAATCCGAGTTAGGAATAAGAATATACCGTAAAGTATAAGTAGGATATACAATTAAAATGTATATACAGTATATTATTCATCTTTTCAGCTGTAAAAATCTTGTTTTAATTGAATTCTAATTAGCAAACAGATCGAACAGGCTACCTTAAATGGAATGTAAAAATTACAACAAAATAAAACGTTGACTAATTATTAATTGATCAAAAACAATGAGGGCAGAAGTAATGAAAAAGAAAAATGAAACAGTTGTTATCAGAAGAAGGGTACAAAGATCAGTTTAGGCGGTGAGAGTTTGAATGTCGAGTTATGAAGGTGATTTGCTACCACTTCAGGAGGTGGGAAATGCATTCTGTTTTCTTGCATTTATGACATCATTTTTTATCTGAGTGACTAATAAAACTCAATACAGCAATTTGTCCAGTTTTTACTTATCCCATAGTTGTAATTTTTCAAACAGTTTTGCTTTTTTCAATAATTGATTTATTAAAAATTACAATTAAACCACCACAAAACTGTTAAGATCATAAATTATGTCATAAATGTGAGAATAGCAAATATCTTTTCACACTTCAAAGTTACTGAAAAATCACTTTCATTATATGAGCTTTGAACTTTTGCCATATAAATGCTGTTTTATTAATGGTTTTAAGTTTCTTTTTTGTTACTGTACTTGTCAAATGAATGAATAACTTGGGAAAAGTTTATGGCTTCTTGATACCATAAGCTCAATTCCAACAATAACAGAAAGTTTAATAGCATTAATATGTATGATGATAAGTAGTTATCAACAACTTAACCAAATAAGTCTTCTTTAACAGATAGAGTAGTGTTCAGCTTTTTACAACCTGCCCTCCTCCTCTGTTTCTGTTTTCAGCCAGTCTTTATTCAACATCTATTGTTAAAATTTGTCATCTAAAGGAATATTTGAACCAATTCTTTATTTTCATTTTAAAATGTTTTGTACGTAATTAATTATTTCAGAATATTGAAGGAGGGATTTGTGTTTTTGTAAGGTTGGTTATGGATGACAACATCTGCTATTTTGAGGTAAATGTAATAGATGTCCTATTTGAAGGTTAAGCGAATTGTAAAAAATATCTGTTAAGTAGAAGTGTTCACTATTTGGGAGTGTTCGTTAATGGAGGTTTTACTGTATACGTGTATTGTAAAAAAAAGTTTTACATACTTTGACAAAAAAGTTGTGCCAAGATGATGATGATGGAAACAAATGAAACTTTACTTAATTGTGATGATAAGAAATGATTACAAAGGGATGATTTTGTGTAGAACAAGAGTAAAATATAATTTGGAATGTTCAGTATATGGTAGGATCTCTCTTGCCTGGATATGTGACAGTAGTCAGTCACGGATGTTTACAGACATAATATGCTACTCTGCTACAGATTTGCTTACAGATGTTGCATTTGTCACTCCAGCTCTTATATTTGTAGATGGCTAAAGTTGGTGTACCATCTAGTCCCACAAAGAGACAGGGCAGTACAAAGTGTGGCAACACAACAGACAGTTCTGGAAAACCTTAACTGTATATCAGTGAGCATTATCTTGCTGGAAAATTGGCTTGTAATGAAATGTAATGCATAAAGCTGAAGGAATTTTTGAACTGTTGTGTCCTTGGTATCACTGTTCCTCATACCACCACTAGGGATGACCAACTTTTATATGAAATGACTCTCCAGCTAAACACAATCAAATGTACAGTACTAGAAATTAAATGTGTAATGAGTTATTGTATTCACTCAGGGTCTGGGTAGCATAACTGGCAATGCATCCACATGGTAAGCGGGAGTTGCAGGTTTGAGTACTGCCACATGCTGATTCTTTTCTTCCAGAATATTCTAAATTGTTTAATAAAAATATTAATTTTATTATAATTATTAAATTAATAAGAGATGGCACCTATGCCTACCTCTAATACCAAATTATTTATAATTTAATTATTAATAGTAGCAGAAAAGACGACAAAGCGCTAAATGAAACAGCGTTAAACCAGGTCATTTTAACACAGAGTAAATAGGGAAAGGGGAACATGCAATGGGAACATGCAACCAAAAATAAACAGATTTTACTTTAATTTTAAATTATTTTTATATTAATTTGCATAATAATATATGTTAAATAACACACAAACATATGCACACAGAAATGGAAAGTTCATTTTTTGTGACAAAGGTCCTGGCTCTTCTGAAATTCTTGTTTTTTGTGATAAAGTCGTGTAGTTTCATTTGTCGCTTTTTTTTCCTTCTTTAATCTTTTAGATGCAACTACCACTCTGTTGAATGTATCACGTGACTCTCCGTTTCTTGTCATGCGACAAATGCTCTGTTATGAAATTAATCAAAAATAGATAAAGAATCTTCAAATACCAGATTAATATAAAAATAACCACTTAACAAAACCAATAACCGGTATTAAATAATTGTAAAATGAACTGCAAACGTTTTTGGTTCCTTCCCTAGGACCTTTCTCAAGCAACGATTCGTCTTTAGAATAAATATGAACGAAGACCAGTAAATTGCGACATTCGAAAAATTATTCTTCGGAACAACATTTCAAAAGTCAAAATTCAACGTTAATGTGAATCACGTGCATTCCCGAATTCCATAAATAAATTCAATAAAAAATGTTCGGTTTACATATTCGTATGCATGATGTTTAAACCCTATTTATGAAACGTATTATTAATGCATATCTTCTTTCTGTAGTAGGGCTTGCCATGCAAGGGATAGGGTAATTTCATCCCTCGAGTTAATAGGTTCAGAAGTGTTGTATGCCTTGCAAATCTCCATTTGTTCCAACCATTTGAGATGGTCCGTAAATGGAGTGGTAATGAGGAGTCTGGCGTTATCAAAGTCTACCGAAATTTCTGGGTCCGAAGCATACATGGATAACAAAGTAGTACCCCTGTTGTGGATGATGTCACTTCTGTGTTCTGCCCATCAGACACCAATCAAACGTTTAGTAGCACCAATGTAGATCAGTTGTCTCTCAAATCTGTGGTCCATGAGGGGAACAGCATATACCCCTGGCAGCTTATCCTCCTTAGGTTTATCTTTTTCATTGCGTAAAAGCTTAAACATAAATGGACATCTTCTGAATGACAGTTGTAATCCTCGTTTTTTAGCGATTTTTTGGTATAAGGATATGAGGAAGGGGTTGTATGTGACTGTTGTGATGGGTCTTGTTCTACATTATTCCCATTCTGTGGCGGTGGTAGGCCGATGCTGTATTGTTGAGCTAATTTATGGACAATGTTATAGAATCCTTGTTGACTGGCAATGTTAAGTAGATAGTTCAATTCTTGAACTAATGCCTCCTGAGTTGAAGATCTCTATAGTAAGTCTATGGAAGACATTCTTGCTGTTTTAAAATTTTTGTTTCTATGCTTATTACACTCTAATTGGTAATTTATATTATGACTGATTTAACTTTAACGAATGAGAGTTTTTTCAGAACCATTTGGTCTGGATTTTCCTGTGAAGAACCAATCCATGTGATTAAAGTCAGAATGTAAAATAAATGTTAAAAATAGCTATATTCTTCATTTTAGAGTGATAATTCTACTAGTTTTCATGTTATTTGACTTTACTTAGACAATATTTCTTATCAAAAGCATCCAGCTGAAAAATTTACCGGGAAACTCGTTACTTCTAGATATTGTGTAATTGCAGGAAAAAATTAAATAATTGCTTATTTTAGTGTATTATTGTATAAAGCAATGAAAAAATATAAAAAAGTGTCAAATATTCACTATTTCAAGCAGAAATATATGCTGATAAACTTTAACGCTTCGCTTTACAATAACAATCGACTCCTCTCCCCGCTAAGTAATTTGAGACACAGTGTAAATAATGGCAATAACTTCTCCCCCGCTCTAGCTAGAGAGCTGCGGTTTGTTTTGTTTAAAAGAAGACAGATGTGTCTAACGAACAGATGTACAAAGTTCAGCGAATCTCTGTAAATTAATTTTTTTTCTATTGTTTGTGAACTTCAAATTTTAATGCTATTTTAAATTTGTATTAAACTAAAAATTAAACAATCATAAACTGTAATATGTTTTTAATTAAACAAAAAACAGATTAAATATAGCATGATTTTGAAGCAAAATATCACAATTTAAAAAATTATCCAAAAATGCAAAAAATGCGCCGCATGACGAATTCCACTCAATATTTTTTTTAGATAGTTTGCCGGGAAAGGGTTAAGCAAATGTCAGTAGCAAGAGATCACATCCAAAATGCCTCATTTTGTTTATGCATTCCTTTTGAAAATCTGGATCATTTGCTACAATTTGATCAACAATTTTGGTTATCGTTACCAAACTTTTACTAAGGAAATCTATAGAGGGATTCTTTGTTTTCAGAATCACTATTTCTCAGTTCTATATGAATTTCTTGTTCTGCCAATTTTTGAAGGTCGTCGTTGGTAAGGCTCTCACCAGAAACTTGCAGTAACTCCTCAATATCCTGCTTGTTTACATCTAGTCCTGCTGTATTGATTAGGTTGACAATTTGGTCAACCAAATGATACAGCAAGACGCTCTTCTTGTTGAGAATACTTGGATACCTTCAGCCATAACTTCTTCTACAACTCCATTCATGCATTTATCAGTTAATCCTTGCCAAGCAAAGTCGATATTGCCTGTGGCATCCATGATATTATAGTTTTTTCAAAATTGCACCAAACAAACATAGATTTAAGGAAAGTACAGTGCTAAGATGAATTGCCATTTTTTGCTGATTGGTTTGTGTTTGGGAATAATCGTATTATATACGAATTAATGAAATACCGCGATAATTTGAATCAGCGTAAATTTTGAGCTTTTTTAAGGCTTTGAGCAGACCATGTTATATTGAAACAGCATTAATCGAGGCAGTGTTAAGTGGGGTCTTACTATATTCTGGTATTCTTTTTGTAAACAATGCATTGCTTGTTATTTGTTCTTCATTACATGGAAAAATGAAGAAAATGATTTTATAATGTGCTAGAAAATAAAAGGTTTCTGTGAAAGTTGTTTTTTATCATAAAAAATGTTTTTGTTGTTAAATTTTATTTGAACAGTTTAAAATAAAATTTGCTAATTTTCCATTTTACTATTATTATTTGAAATAAAGTATTGATAACCTATAAATTCAAAGCTTATATATTCTTTAAAATCAATACATTTATAAACAATCACTGTTATTAAGATTCAATAAATTTCATTTGTTTATGAAACTTATTGAATCATTTCAAAGTCAAATTAGTTGTGTAGTTATTTAAAGATGTCTCTCTGTACACGCCCAAATATATTAATACTATTATATATCTCTGATTTAGTTTTTTAACAGGGTTTAACTTAATTTTTCAATACACTGTAGTTTTTCACTGAATTATCTTAAATATTAATTAATGATTTTAATCTTAATCTTTTTTAATAGGACCTTCAAGGACAAGATGTAGATCAGGGAGATTTAATACAGTGCCTTATCAAACATAAGAATGAACCAGAAATGAAAAAATACCAGAAGTGTCGTGTAGCGGTAGAACATTTTCAATTGGTAATAGCATTAAGTTATCGGATGTAAAATTGCCATTCAAAAATAATTAATGATGATATTTTCTTTCAGTTATCTCTTAAAGATTATCATTTTAATTTCAAATTTAAAGAAGCTTGCAAACAAGATGTTTTACAATTATGTGGAAATATTAAAACAAAGTAAGTTGAATACATGCAGATTAATTTCTAACTATAATAATTATTTTACTCTGAATTAATTATTTGACCTATTGAGGATTGAAAAATTTAAAAGAAAAAAAAAAATAATAATAAAAACTGCGTCAAACAGCTGGTTAGATCGGGGATGCCTCTTTGGGGATACGGAAGGATTCATGATTGCAATACAGGATCAGGTCATAAATAATAAAAACTACAGAAAATACATACTCAAAGATACAACACTCACAAATGACACATGCAGAAAATGTCACATCATGCCAGAAACTATACAACACATCACTTCTGGNTTATAATACAGTACGAAAGAGGAGGATCTTTTAGGAACGAACAATGAACTAGAATATACTATGTAGAGTGGCTATGACCTTAGATACAGAGCTCTTGATGGCAACGACGAGACTGTCGACCTCTATTTTACTTTAAGTTAAAACAGTTAAACATTGAAGTCTGTACCACGTGTTAAGCAGGATTTCAATTTTAGAATATATTTTCGCATGTTTTCCCCTAGATTTGAGATTTAGGCAATTAGATACGTGATATAAGTCTAGATAGGTTCATCTCGAATTTATCTATTTTTTAGATTTTATTTGATTATTATAAAGAAGGTAAGATAAGAGGTTAAACTGGTAAGTATAGTATAAGTATAGTACTTAACCCTCAATATACCAATATTTTTATAATCTAAGTACGATCCAGGTCTTGAAGGGCTTTATTTTCATGAAAAAATGATGATGATTCACGATCCTTAACAATATACATTATTGTACGAATATAATTTTATTTGAATAAACGTTATACATAAAATATTTGAGTATTTTTTGGCATGGAAAGAATTATCGTATTTTACATTAATTTATATGGGAAAATTGTTTCACTTAACGAGTGTTTCGAATTACGAGTAAGATTCTGGAACGAATTATGCTCGTTAAGCGAGGTTCCACAGCATAGTGGTCGGCGATAAAACAGATTGATGTTTGCATGATGACTGATGATATAAAGTTAATATAGCTGTGCAATTAATGGTTATAAGTAACGCTGAAACATGTGAGGTGTTTTGCATCAGAAAATTAACATCAGCATATTAATTAACATGAACTAACCTTTTGTTCGTTGTGTCATTTAAACAAATGTCTAGAACGAATTTCATTAAATATCTTACCGGTAATAATTATTAACATTTCTTTCTTAAAAAATAAACTTAAAAGATTATCACATTTTAAACCTTGGAGCTTGTGAAAAAAATCCAGCAACAAGTTGCCTAAGTTTTCCGGCTGTTGTAAGATTTTATTTTAAAAATAACAATTTTTATTTTTATTTATTATCAAACGGCAAAAGGCTTACATATGAGAGTGGTGATGAGTTTTATATAAAAAATTGTAAATATTTATTTAATAACGTCCGACCTTAAACGTATGTCGACTCTCGAGATATGAGACGAATCCCCTTTAACCTGTAACTACCAAAATTTAATTGCATCAATGCTCCTTATACACAAGCTATTATGCTAAATTTCGTTTCTTACAGACGCCAACACACACATAGACTAAATATTTTTTCCATTTTTGACTGTTTTGACTTCAAGAGGTCAAAACGTAGAAATTTGACACCATTTCAATACTTTCTCTTGTTATGTGTACATAACAATTGGGATAGTAAAATTAAGAATGTTTAGAAATGCATTTAACTTATCACTACAGAATATTTTGTCTTGTTTAGAAACGTTTAAATAAAGGGTTACAAAAAGAAATGTCTTGTTATTTACTTTCAAAAGTAAAAAACAAAAACTAAAAGGGGTATTTTGACTTGTACGATCATTTTTTTCCTTTACACACTTTTACGCAACGAATTAGAATATTCTAGCTCGTTGCAATTAGTAAATAAAAGTAATGCGCCCTCTTGACTAAAAAGAAAATGGCGGACGTGTATTCAATTGTTTTTTCAACATGGCGTCCGTATAAACACTCTATGTAGTATATTCTAGCTCGTTGGGAACGAAGTAATGACGTCACAGGAAGATAGCACGTGGCCAGAGTTAAAATTATTTATGACGTCACCACTCAGCTGAGCGACGTGGGCGTGGTCCACTATGAAAAGTCTTCACGATTGTACTGTAGAACTATAAATAAAGTAAACTATGCTAGTATCAACTAAAGTAAACTAAATCAACAAAATATATGCAAAATATACTGTACAATATGGAAATACAGTAATATGGCACTTATGCAATATGATGCTTACCGTGTTGGCGTGAATTAATGTTAATTAAATAAAAATGTTGGGCATGTCTTGAAGAAAGTTTTTCGTTCATTCATCAAAAGCCAACGCAGAATCTCAAAGGATGATTGGAGGAATTTTACCTGACAATTGTAAAGTGAAAGTGAATATATCTTTCAGTGAATGGAATCATACTTGAAGCACGATAGAAAAATATAGGACATAGTTTTCCATAAATAAAATTAAATAGACTGGATAATTAAATACTTGTTGGATAAGTTATAAGGTCTTTACAAATTGTTTTTCTCGCTAGTGTCTGTTGTACCTTTCCTTCGGCCGGTTTATATTAGTAAACGTATATGAACAAAAGAAAAAAAGGCTTACAGCTCAATATTACGTTATTCAATGATAATTAAAAGCAAATTATCTGTCAGTGTGAGATCTGAATAGCCCCTGGGTCTAAAATTAATAATTATTTAATAATGTTAAATATTGTCATAAAATATTATTTCGTTTTGGTGAGAAATTAACGTTTTTCCAACGTGGGAAAGCTAGATAACAGATGCTACTTCCTTCGAGGGAAGTTAGAACATCCTCTGTTTTTCCCTTATCCGCTAAAAATCTCGCTTCTATGGGAAATGATCACCCCTCCTTTCTTCCCCTTTCATCCGTTCACATAAAAGAGTCTCTGTTTGATGATTGGTTGTAAATCATCAGATATAGAGGGAATTTGGCAGAAATCGGGGAGTTCATCGACAGACCTGGAAGAGTCCACACATATTTCTCCTGTTGGCCAACGCCCTTAGTCGAGTCACATAGAATAAATCCAGAGTTAGCGCTTAGAAGATATACTTTGATTTTGTGCACATATCGATCTCCCATGGAATGAAGTTTGAGAACTTTATAAACGAAGTGCCTTTGCCAACCTATAAGAAGAAGACGAACGACAACTAAACCAGGTTGTATGTTTAATAACGATTTTGTAAGCTCTCTCTCTCGATCGTGTATCGGTTAAATATAAGTCCATATCTCTCTCGACTTATAGGCTGTAATTTGTAGTCATTGTCTCTTACTACCATATATTTGTACTATTTCTATTGGTTTATGTTTTAATTAAATTTATTCTTGTTTATTTGTTAAAGAATGTCTCCTATAGAGTCTCTGAATCAGATCTATAAAATAATCACACGCGTGTTTGTTCGCGGAACGATTAATTGACAAACTGGTGTCTGGAACCTGACAATTTGGATAGAGACTTCACAGTCTTTAATCCTACCGTCTTCCTATGTAAGTTTTTAAGATCAGATCTAGTGATCTGAAACTTTAGAGACAGATTTTCGGATAATCTGTGCCGATTAAGTGGTACGAACAATCATAAACGGAGTTGTACCCCCGGCTACTCTCACAGTCAGTATTAAAGTTATAAAACGCGATATTCAATCGGCTAAAAACGTCCCCGTTACCTTTGTGGGAGATAGGGTAGAAGTGAACTCCAAAATCTTAAATTAAATCCTATCAAAACGTTTATTTGCATTCTATGCTGAAATGCATAAACTTTTAATCCAAAATATTTCTCTTAAATTAAATTTTCTAAAGAAAATGATTCAGAAAAAGATTTCTGAAGAAAAAGACCGAAAATGCGTCGTCAATGTTAAATTATGTACAATTGGCTGTAGTAAATAACAAATTTTAAAAAATCCATTAAAAATTTTTTCTTATTTGCTCTTACTCTCGAAACGTTATAAATGCATACTCGGTGAAGAGTGACAATATACTCATAAAGCAACTATTATTTAAAAATTGAATAATTTTATGTTTCGAATACTAATAATTGTTTATGCTTCTAACACAATAAAGTGCTATAAATTAAGACACTTGGCGGGTTTTCTCATCTTTATTTAGTTGATACGTGTGAACATTTTACACGTTTCGTAAAAAAACTAATAATTGTATTTTTAATGTTAGCTTGGAGATAAGTGAACACCGCTTTGGAGGATTTAAATTACGTACTGCTTGGATTGGCCGCGTTGGATTTATTCAAAGAAATGTATTTATTTTTATAATTAATATTGATTTAAATATTTGTAGTATTTTTATACAATAACATATTTTTAGGAATCGGATCTAGCATTACCGTTAGGAATTACCTATGATAAACTCGAAGCAATAGATTACAGCGATGTTATAGATGCTTCGAGAGTAAGATTTTTTACATCTAAACCAAAGGAATTATCTAAAATGTTGGCCATAATATTTCCTTTTGGCCTATCGGTAAGTAGTATTTTATTTCTTTTTCAAACTGACTGCCGAAAACCCCTAAGAAGCAAAAATAGTTTTCTACAGGAGCAAAAATAATTTAGTACAGCAAATTTTATTTGTCTCATGTTTCCAAGATTTTTGCAGAGTATTCAAACTCAAAGGGTACAGTTATGACATAAAACTCCTGTACAGCTATTACACAAAATATATTTCATCCGTAGTAGCGATTATGAGGTTTTAGTTTTTAAACTATATACGATATTTTATGTTTATTAGATTAAATTTGCATTGCAAGAGTAAAATAGAAACATGAAAGAAGAATAAACATAAAAGGAAAGAAAGCTCTAACTTGACACTAGAAGACATGCCAGCCAGGGACTCTCCAAATACCGCAAAATTTCATTATATTAAATGTCTACTGGAAACTTATTTTGGAGAATGTTGGGAAACATTCTCCAAATTCTCACAATTTGTGGTACAAAAAGTTTACATCACTGCACCTGGAACTAGCCAAACATCTAACACACATCATCATCAATCCACAAGACATGCCAAAATTTCTTACTCAGGGCATCACCTACATGAAACCTAAAAACAACAAAACACCACAGACCCCACACAATACAGACCAATTACATGTCTTCCAACACTCTACAAATTATTGACATTCTGTATCACAAACAAAATATACAAACATGTTGAAGAACACGACATTCTTACAGAACAACAAAAAGGTTGCCGTAGAAATCACAGAGGATTCAAAGAACAATTACTCATAGATTCAGTCATTCTACGGCAAGCACACAAACATACACATGGCATATATAGACTACAGAAAAGCATTTGACAGTGTTCCACACAGTTCGCTGCTACATATTCTACACATGTACAAAATACATCCATCACTCATTGCATTCTTTGAAAACACTATGCAGCACTGGAGAACAACACTGCATCTCAGGGTTAGTAACACTTCCATACAAACAAATGAGATATTCATTAGGCAAGGAATTTTTCAAGGAGATTCCTTGAGTCCTCTCTGGTTCTGCCTAGCCCTGAACACATTATCCAACATGTTAAACAACACACATTATGGCTACAATATCAGACATGAAAAAACAACACAGTTTACGCTGTCACATCTCATGTACATGGATGACATAAAACTTTATGCATCCACACAGAAACAACTTCATCAACTCCTACAAATCACACATTCATATACCAAGGACATACAAATGGAGTTTGGCTTAGACAAATGCAAAACACTTCACATAGAAAAAGGAATCCTGAAGAAAAAAGATTTTGCACTTGGAAATGGGGGCATTATTGAATCCATGGAAGAGGGCGAGTTCTACAAGTATTTAGGATTTCAACAGGCCAAACTAACAGAACATACACAAATAAAGCAAAGATTAATTAAAGAATACCACAGTAGGTTAAATGCCATTCTCAAAACACAGCTAAATGCAAAACACACAGTTAAAGCAATAAACACATATGTCGTTCCAGTACTCACATACTCTTTTGGAGTTATACATTGGACACGCACAGATCTTGAGCAACTCCAAAGGAAAACAAGAACAAAACTTACTAAGCATAAACAACATCATCCTAAATCCGCCACAGAAAGATTAACCCTTCCACGTAAAGAAGGCAGACGTGGCCTGATTGACATAGTTAACCTTCACTACAAACAAATACAGTCACTGCGAGAGTTTTTCTGCAGGAAACAAGAAACATCACAGTTACATAAAGCAGTAACTCTAGCAGACTCCAATAACACACCATTAAACTTACACTCACAACATACAGACTTGACACAACATATAAAAAACATAGACAACATGAAGCAATCGTGGGCTCGAAAGGCACTCCATGGCAGGCATCCTTATGACCTGGTCCAGGATTTTGTTGACAAAACTGCGTCAAACAGCTCGTTAGATCGGGGATGCCTCTTTGGGGAGACGGAAGGATTCATGATTGCCATACAGTATCAGGTCATAAATACTAAAAACTACAGAAAACACATACTCAAAGATACAACACTCAGAAATGAAACATGCAGAAAATGTCACATCACGCCAGAAACTGTACAACACATCACTTCTTATTGCAAGCTCTTGGCACAGACAAATTACTTACATAGACACAATCAAGTAGCAAATATAATACACCAAGAGCTTGCTAAGAAACACAACTTGGTAGACATTCACGAACCATACTACAAATACATTCCACAGACAATATTGCAAAACAACACGCACAAACTATACTACGACAGAGCCATAATTACAGATAAAACAATTTACCACGACAGACCAGATATCATACTCATTGACAAACACAATAAAATCACATACATTATAGACATATCCATTCCAAACACTCACAATGTACAAAACACATTCACTGAAAAAATTAGCAAGTACACAGAACTCGCCCAGGAAATAAGACATCTGTGGAGGATGTATAGGGTGCTTATTGTACAGTACCTGTCGTTCTCTCCTGTACAGGTACCACACACACTATATAAAAGCCTGGGAACATTAGAATTGAATAGAAATACATACATCACACTACAGAAGGCCACTATATTGAATACATGCCACATTGTTAGGAAATCGTTGAATAACCATTAAACCCAACATAATAATAAGCGCAGAGCCCAAACGGTTAGGATTTGAAAGTTGAAATTTGGTACACAGTTAGGGTACGTCACGAGAACGCACACTAAGAAGGGATTTTTCGAAATTCCTCCCCACGGGGGAAAAAGACAGGATTAAGGCTTAATACTTCCATCAACAATGGAAGTGTTAAGTAACAATAAAAGTGTCAACAATGGAAGTGTTAGGTAACAATGGAATTGTTAAGAGAAAGCGACGTGCAATACGCAGATGCAGTTTTTTTCGTTATTGCGGGAAATCGAACATATTTTTAGACCCATCTAAAAATTCTCTAATTAGTCTGGAAACAAGGGGACCCAATTCTTGCATTCTGTGAAAACGGGTAAGGTTGACTGTAACGTAATAATCTTAATCTTAGTTATCGTTACTTTTGTACGGGCCTACCTGCTAGTTATAATATATTTTAATATTTGCAATAAAATATTTAATATATATTTCACAATAAATATAAATTATGAAAAAAATGTAATGTAAAGTTTCTAGTATTTGATTTCTGTTAAATATTAGTACTCTTTCTAGTAATTTCTATTGTCATGTTTTAATTTTAATAAACAATATCTTTTATATCATATTAATTAGTAATAAGAGAATAGCATTTTTTATACAAAGATATGGATAGCCCTGGTGATCGCATTCATTCTTACTGGATTATGTTTCTACTTGATCTTAAATTGGAATTCAAGGAAAAACCAGGCAAAACACGTTAAACTATATGATATATTTTGGGCGATTTTTGGATCATTTTCGAATAAAGGTACGCAACAGATTTATATTATGTATTTTAAATGATATTTTAATAAATACTTGTATTTATATTATAATAGAAAACTGTTTACCTTCGTTTGTTGTAGGCAGCTCATTATTTGAAGTTAGTGGATACTGCAGAATAATGGTTTTCGGTTGGTTAATCGCAATATTTATTATAGTATCCAGTTACAGTGGCGGTCTCATGTCTTTTCTTGCTTTCGCGGGTTATGAATATGTGCCTGAAACGTTTCCTGAATTGATAAAAGAAATCAGAAACGGACATTATACGGCGTCTTACGTATATAATATGGATTTAGCCGACCATTTTAAGGTAAGATTTAACATTCTATAACTCATTTTTAAAAGTTTAGAAACTTCGTCATTAAAAGTATAGTATTGATATTTCCATGCGAAATACTATTTACACATACAGAAATGTAACTTTCCAATAATTTCCTTGATTAAAGAAATAAATAAGTTAGAAAAATGCGTTAAAAGTTTTAACTCAGAACATTTATTTTAATCACAAAAATATTTTTTACATAAACCACACTTGTGTCAAAAATTTAGAAACTTAATAATATACAGATTACTTTTCGTATTTTGTTTAGTAATTTTGTATTGAACACTTGCTAGTGTGCTTCATACTTTATTATGGGCAAATCTAAGCAGCTAACAAAGAAAAAAATTTAATATTTTGAACAAAAGCGATTAAATAAATCAATACATTATATTGACAAAAATTTAAATATATGCATTTTCTAACTTATTTATTTGTTTAATCAAGGAAATAAATAAAAAGTTACATTTCTGTATGTGTAAATAGTAGTTCTCGTGTTAATATCAATACTCTAATTTTAATGACAAAGTTTCTAAACTTTTGAAAAGGAGTTGTGATTAATTTTGTTCTCTTATTATAAGTGAATAATATATGTAAAATATATGTAAAATATAAATGTTAATTTTTACAGCTTGCAACACAAGAGACGCCTTTAGTATTGGCGCTTAAGAAATTAAGAACAGAAGGTAAAGTGGTAAAGTTGAGATCAAAAAATGATGTATATGAACATCTTATGAAACCTAAACATGCTTTTATCGAGTATGAGTTGGATGGATTGTTGTATGTAAGTGCATTAGGAGCAGATGACTATCTGATGTCAAAGGATAGTCTTTATATTAAATACGAAGTATATGGCATGATTAAAGGGTTTCCATATAAGAAGGAAATAAATATTGTGTACGTAAAATATATAAAAGTCTAAGGTTTTAATTTTGAATTTTTATTACTTCTTTTATTATTTAATTTTGTGATATAAAATTTAATGTTTTACAGAAATCGCAGAATAATAGAAGCAGGTCTTGATGAACATGCACATACAATCCAATTGAATTTAGTTAGAAATGAGAAACTATTCATGAAGAAAGATGATGCTGCATTTCAACCACTTTCAATTGAAAATTTAATTGGAGCTTTCGTGTTTCTTTTCATAGGTTATGTCTTGTCAACACTTATTTTTCTCATGGAATTAGCCCAAAAACTTAAAAATAAAGTTTCATGTCAATAATTGAAACAGTATGAAATAAAACTACTAAAACTTCTTCATATAACTTTTATATTATTTTATTTTAATTCATTTNATTTAATATTTTACAGAAATCGCAGAATAATAGAAGCAGGTCTTGATGAACATGCGCATACAATCCAATTGAATTTAGTTAGAAATGAGAAACTATTCATGAAGAAAGATGATTCTGCATTTCAACCACTTTCAATTAAAAATTTAATTGGAGCTTTCGTGTTTCTTTTCATAGGTTATGTCTTGTCAACACTTATTTTTCTCCTGGAATTAGCCCAAAAACTTAAAAATAAAGTTTCATGTTAATAATTGAAACAGTATGAAATAAAACTACTAAAACTTCTTCTTATAACTTTTATATTACAGTGAAATTTATCGTAAGACAAAATGCGTATAGAATATTATATACTAATAGTTGGTTAACTCTCCTTTTTGTTTATTTATAAANGCGTTCTAGTCGGCAAATTCAAATGTCCGCTAGTGATGTGGCGCTACAATATTTGGCTATGTCTTGGCTACTTTAATATTATTTTTACATGTTTTAACTGGCAACACTGGCTCGACCATGAAAGGGAGCCAGTATTTAAACGAGGCTTAATTTTCTAATTTTTAACGATACAATAGTGACCATTATTATTTTTAAAAAATTTTTGTTAGGCTTAACATTGATGAAAATTCAACGCGAAGTAGGTTAATAGCGATATACTAATTACATGGAATATAATAATATACTATACTAATAATGGATTTTTTCATACTTTTCAGTTATTCGACTTTTCAATTATCCAACCAACCCCAGTCCCCAATTGAGTTGGATAATCGATGCTCTATTGTAATTTATAAATCAAATACTTTTGATATTTTTTGCAAAAATAGAACTTTTAAAATTATCATCATCTAGGTCAAGTATGGATAACCTACAGTCTTCCAGGACATTTTCTATGACCACATATTATGAAAATCCTTAATTTAAGTGTATTTACATCATAAATAATTTACAATAAATTTCACGTGTCCAGTGAATAAAAGTCAATGCTATGAGGAATAAATTTCAGATTAGTTATCCACAGTATTCACATCTCCTTTATATGTTACACGGGATAAGGCAACATGAAGGTGAGGACTAAAGTTTCCTCTAAGAGGCCTTAGAAGTTCTCTCAGAGTAACATCTAAGTAGGTGCCATTTTTTCATAGAAAATGGAAAAGTGGCATCTAGTTAATGTTAGACATGTGAAGAAAACCCAGAAAACTCTGTATAGTCGGCCTGTTGGTCAGGTATAAACACAGGACTAAATACCAGTATTCAGTGGTTTTATCCACTCATCTACTGGTGGATCATATCTAATGCTATGCCAATAACTGATATGTAAAACTGACACCAATACATGTTTACAATATTGATAGCAATATTTTAATTTTAGAATATTGACATACTGAAACCAATAAAGCATGCAAACAAGCATAATTTTTAAATTATGCTTGTTTAGTAGATTCAAACCCTTCTGATAAGATCTCTAAATGTTGAGAATTTATAAAAGATTGGATATGTTGATCTGCAATGGCAATAGATGGAATATAAGTTTCTTGTATATGCCAGTAATAACAGCCCTGTCTCTCAGTGTTATTGAGATACTAAGAAAATGTACTAGGCCTACATATAAACTCTTCTTCTCTATATTATAAAAATGCATTTATATTAGATTTGGATTTATTGTAAGGACTTATTGTAAGGACATCATCTATATATCTAGTGTAGAAATATATTTCTAGATATAACATATGTAATAAAATTTTCTTTTAGTTTACAGAAAAGGTTTGTTTTAGAGTTATCTTTAAATATTCTTCTGTTTTGGATATGTCTTTAAATTGAAAAAGGATGGGTAACATCATATATGCTAATTTTAGGATTGAATTGTGATAAGTTTTAGCAACTGGAATCTTTCAAAAGGTAGATCCCTTAAGAAGCAGAAACAGAGTACTAGTTTAACTGAGAAATGCATATTTTCAAAGCCCATGATCATAATGTATTTGCTATTTGTTAAAAGGGAATTCTTGTAGTCACTGTACAATGTTAGTTGTGAATCATGTAGGTATAGTCATCCAAACTTACAGAGAACAATTTCTGTAAACACTTTTCTAACAAAAATGTAGTTGATCCATATTTTTCAAGCAATGGACAAGCTTGTATTAGTGCTTAATTTGATTTGGATTTGTCAATATATCAAATCTTTGTCTAGAAAGTGAATAAAATTAAGTCTTATTCTTTATTTAAATCAGAATTGAGTCTATTGTAAACCCAAAAATATTTACAGTATCTGATTATATGTTTACAATGATCTCACTACTAGAATTTAATTATCATTGGACACATGGATGAGAGAAAATATCCACTTTTAAAGGAAACTTTTCAAAGGTTAAACTCCTGCTTTGAATCAACTTACCTTTGTGAAAGTGGCTTTTCGACAATGAAATTTTTAAAATCAAAGTTCAGATCCAGAATGACAAATGAGCATCTAAATGATTGTATGACTCTTGCTGTAACACCTTATTTACCAGAGTACAATAAACTGGTAGAAGACATGCAATGTCAGTCTTCACATTCATTATTAATAAATAAGTTTTGTTTGTCCTTATCGTATTTAATTTGTAGTAGATTAGTAGTAGTGTAATATTGTGTTTTCTTTTACCTATTGTGGCTAATTTTTTCAAGAAAAAGGTCGCTCTCCTAGAAATTTTTAAACTCTTAATTTGCTCCACATAAACTAAAGGTTGTCTATGTGGAGCTAGACAACGCTGCTCTAAAGCAACACAATACTTGGGTAATCTGCCAGGAGGAGATGCCACTGAAGAAAACTTTCTTTGGGAAATTGGCTCCTATTTCGGTGTTAGACATGTGAAGAAAACCTAAAAAACTATGTGGCCAGCTTGTTAGTGAGACACAAAACCACCAACTACCAGTATTCAATGATTTTTATTTACTTGATCACTGAATCAAAACTGATAAAGATTTCAAAGTTATTGAAAACATGATTTAAACATTTGTTATGAAAAGTAACATTTCAAGTCTTCTTTAGAAAAAAAAAGCCATTTGTGATTAATTTATTTACGATTATTTTATTTCTTTTTCATAAGAATATAAATGCATATTTGACATCTGATGCTTTTTTCACCAGAAAGACAAAAATGCAACATAAGCAACAAAATCAATATTTGCTGTTTATGGAATTATTCACACTAAAACAGTTATTAACAAATAGTTTTCTAAGTCTAGAACTGGAAATTTTAATCTTAAATCCAAGAATGCTATAATAGACCCTCTATCACTAATGACAACCAAATCAGGTAACTAATACAGAATAATCCTCAATACATGACACAGGAATTAGTAAAGATACTCAAAATATTGAAAACCACATTCATGTAAATTTAGTATAGCTTGGTATGACTAGAATTAAGACATCTACACACTAAAAATCAAATGGTTATATAAATAATATAAGTTATATGACTACTGAGTGATGTTAAAACTGATATGATCTTTAATGCCTAGATGTCCTAACTTTAGTTATGACATACAGATCCTACATAATTTGATCAAAATAAACTTTATGGCTTGCATCTTCATTTGCAACTTGCTTTACAAATGCAACATAAACACATTTTAGAAGCTAATAGCAAAAGGTGACATAAAATGAACTGTTTACATCAAACTAAAAAAGGCCTTGGTATGAGCAAGATAAACCACTGTTAATTACTTCCAAATCTAGTCATCATCTGAAGAAAGCCAGGCTCTGGTAAGAAATCCTGTATTATGAGCTCCTTCCAAAAATCAAATAATAAATTCAGTTAAATACTGCTTGAATAGGACTATTGAAGGCAGTGATCTAGAAAAAAAATGTGCAGCATTAGCCACATTAGCACAATGTCAAGCTTTATGTTTCTGATCACTTAACAAGAATTGTTGTAGCTCAACAGATTTGCTATCTCAATTTCTATGTTCACTAAGATCACACTGATCTCTGGTGAACATGAAAATAGAATATCACTCACATTCCAGTCTTTGCAAAACTCTGCTAATAGAAAGAACTTAAAAATGAAGTTCTTTCCATAACACAAAAACAACCTTAAGCATTTTGCTGATAAACCTAAGAAATATTATGAAAATGGCATCTTCAAGTTATATGGAAGATAACAAATGATAATTCTAGATAATTTAATACTATGTATACTCATAAAAAAAATCCTGAATGAAGATCCTCTAGAAACCACAATCTTCCTTCCACTAAAATTACATTAATAAAAAAAATCATTACAATAACCAAAAGCACAAAGGGCAAACACTTTAGACTAATAATCTACAACACCCACTACTTTGGAAAACATATCACTAAGAAGCTGGCAGATAAATTCACTTTTTTTTACAATCTCTCTATTATATAGCATGCTACCTAAAGATAAAGACAAAATTGCAGGTGTGTATATGATATCAGCTAGAGCTGTGTTTGCAATCTTTTCAAATTAGCAATATGCTTTGAATTTAATAAGATTCCTGCAACACACCATAATTTTTAAAATAAAAATGTGTAAAATTGACACAATCATAATGCACTTTCATATATATTTTTGTTTATTACAAAATAATTGTATCAAATACAATGAAACTAAGTATAGTTAAAAAAAAGTTATTTAACAAAAATGACCAAAAATCCTAATGTAATAATTGTGTCTATTTTGTTTGCTTGATTTCTTTATTCAGGGACAAATAGTTGACAAGGAAAATTTAAAATAAATTACAGTTGATTTTAAAAAGTTGTGATAATACAGAAGTTAAACTTAAAAAGACAAACTCACAATTTTACATATATACTATAAAAATAAAGATTACTTGAATCAAAGCATACAGAGCTTACTGATACTCTTTATGCATAGATAGAGTTGGTAAGGTGCAACATTTATAGAAGTTCCAAAGAGTCTGTACACCAGCATACACAGATGCAAACAACTTTTATGACGGGGTATGCTGATGCCACAAATTTTGCAAAAATCGGCATTTTAGTGAATATACCTCTTTCTCCCTTCAGTTGGCTGGCAGTAAAAAGATGACAGTTAAATGAAATTGTAAAAATATGTTTATTTAAAATTTTAATAAATATTTAATATTTCTCCAATGCACAAGTTGGGAAACACTGATCTAGAAAGAGCTACTTAATTACAACTTGTTTATATAGGTTGCATGTCCTAATCATTTAAAAATGGATATCAAAGAACACCAGTAGGAATTTCAATACAACATGAGCCAAGTATATCAAAGTATTTAAAATATATAAACACACATTAAAAATACCTGCTTACCTGCAATTCTTCAATTTTATTTATATAATATTGTTTTAATCCATCTCCTTTCTGAGTTTCTTCCACTTCCATCTGAAAATAAATTATGGACATTAATGATACAATAAAAATCAACAGTTTTTTTACTTCTATTTGACTTGTAATAAATTATTAATATTTTAATATGTAAAAATAATCAGTAAATCCTATTTAGTTCTTTACTTAATACTGTACACTAGGGGGTGGCCAAAATATGGTGCATTGGATGATTACAAGTGGCACTTCAGTCAGTTCTGAGTGAGCTATCGTGGTGTCGAGTTTTGAAGCAGAATTTTTGCAAGAGCGTTTTGTGTGATACGATGTACATAACTGTGATGTATTTGTTCTTTTTCAACATTTTTTAAAGTTTTGTACTTTTCTGTTTTTTTAAATTCCTTTTATCTATTATAGTGCAAAATAAAATGACCAAAAGAAGCACAGAAGTGATGATAGGCGTAAATTTAATGAACAGTGGGAAAATGAGTTATTATTTATAGCAAATTCATCAGGAAAATCATTTTGCATTGTGAAAGCACTTTTTCACATAATAGAAGACATGATCTTAATAGACACTATAAAACACAGCATCAAACTTACACAAAAGAAAAAATGAAGTTTGTTCTTGGGTCTGAGTTGTGAAAAGAATATGTGACTAAGAAAAAAGAAGAAATCAGAAGACGACAAAATATATTTACTAAAGTAAGTTGTGAAGACTTAGCAATGACAGAAGTGTCATATGAAATTGTTTAACATTGGCAAAAAAAAAAAAAAAAAAAGCTTTTTCTGACGGAGAAGAAATTGTCGTCTCCAAATATTTGCACGGCATCTTGATGATAAAAGTATTGAAAGGAAAGCAGACAAAATTGCTATATCAAGGCAGACAGTTATGAGACATATCAAGGAACTCTCCCAGGATGTATCCTAGCAATTGGAAGACCTTGTCCATTCGTGTACTTTCTTTTCTCTAGATTTGGATGAATCAACAGACATATCTTATGTTGCACAGTTAAACATTTTTATGAGGAATTGATGACAATTTTAATACCTTTGAAGAACTTGCCAGTCTGGAGTCATTGCATGGTAAAACAAGAGGATTAGATATATTTGAAAAAGTAAAATCATGCATAGAAAATCTAAAATTAGATTGTAGCAAACTCATCAGTATGTGTACTGATGGAGCACCATCAATGATAGGTAAACACAATGGCACTGTAACTTTGCTTGAAAATTTTTAAATTTGTCCTATACTAAAATATCATTGCATTATACACCAAGAGGCACTGTGTGCCAAACCTTTAAATATGCAACATGTTATGTTACCGGTTACCGAACATGTTATGTTATGTTACCGAAATGTGTGAATAAAATTAGAGCAAGAACATTAAACAGATGAGAATTCAGAAAATATTGTGAATTGTTAGATTTGGAATATAGTGATCTTAACCTTCATTGTGAAGTGTGATGGCTTTCTAGAGGGCAGGTTCTGAGTAGATTTTGGAAATTGAAAAATGCTGTTTCTAACTTTTTAGAACAGGAAAATTAACTACCTGATGAAAGAACCCTATTGTTTGAAAACAACTGGCTATTTGATTTGGCATTTTTAGTTGATAATACTAGCCATCTCAATGATCTAAATTTAAAAACTACAAAGCAAGAATAAATTATTTCCTATCTTAGTAAATAACATCAGTTCATTTGAAATAAAATTAAAACTGTTCATCTCTCAGTTAGAAAATGAGGATTTGAGTCAATTTCCATGCTTGAAGAGCAGAGTGAATGTGCTGAGAATAATAGCAAGTTGATCAAATATATTGAAAAAATCAAGTTATTGCAAGGGACATTTGAAAGTCATTTTCATGATTTTGCTAAAGAAAAAACTGCATTCTCACCTTTATAAACCCATTTTCACTTAGTGAACAAAACATAATGTAGATTCCTAGTAGCATACAAATAGAACTGATTGATTTAAAAATAAATTCATTCTTAAAAATAAAATTTGATGAGCTTTTTCCATATCAAAATGCTTCTGACAATTAATTTCTGGCATTCATTACCATGTGAACATTTCCTAGAGCTAAGAAAATTTGCAAAAATTATATACAGTATGTCGCTTTGGAACAACATACAGATGTGAACAAGCATTTTCATCAATAAAATTGATTAAAAGCAAAACAACGTCACAAATAACTGATTCAAATTTGAAAATTTCTCTGTTGTTCTCAGTAACAAATTTAACACCAAACATTAAAAGACTAGCAAAAACCAAATAGGCTCAAAACTTTCATTAATGGTAAGTAATGTTTATGTGCTGTAATAGATATTGTTTTACATACAATAATTAAATCATTTAAAAAGTTAATTATGTCTATAAACATACTTCTATTAAAAAGGTTATTAAACATATGCCAGGGCCAGGACTCCTAGCAAGCAGAGAGAACAGACAAATCCAAGTTCCAAGCTGATTTTGCACTAAGTGCCAACAACTGTGGTCCAGAGTTATCTTCAAACGAGAATCTCTGGCAGCTATAGCACCATCATGAAGCGATCACTCTGTCATACAGGAGATCATTCATGATTATTGTAGATTGGTGCTTCATTAAACTGGCATAAATTAATTCATTTAACTGTGTGATTAAGTTATTCCTTTTCCTCCCCTAAGCAAAGCAGATTCTATCCTTATTTCTACTTACCAACCCCTAACCATGAAGATAAGACAGCATAAAAAGTGCTATAGTTATATGGCACATCTGAACTCATCTGTCAAAAAACTGGAACATGGTATTCAAAAGGCTGGCCACCCCTGCTGTACACTATCACGTTCTATCACAAAATAGATATAGTCAAACATCTGGTTTTGAACTTAATTTGTTCCTAAAAGTTATTCGAAAATCAATTTCTCAAACTGAAACAAATTTTTCCATAATATATAAAATGGATCAATCCGTTCCCAATCCTCAAAACAAAGTCTTTTTTTCCATCAGTATTTCATGCATAAAAATGCAGCAAATATAGCAATCAAAATTTTGTTTGTAAACCAAAGTGTTTGAAACCCAAGGTTTGACTGTATTTATGTATTATTTACTTTATTGTTTAGTAACAGTGAAATTATCTTGTTGATTATGCAGAGTTCCCAAGTCAATTTTTTTGATACTTCCCATTTCTTCTTATTTCTTACATTTATTATAAACATTTATTTGAATGATATAGATTATTTCTCCAAAGATGTTTTATATAAAACTTGAAACTGAATCTTTTATATATACAGCTGAAACAAACCAAAGATTTTGTAAATAACCAACCAAAACAAGAATTACATTAAGCAAAAATTACAATCATTCATGCTTGATTTCATGCTAATTATGATCAATTTCATGCTTAATATTTATTCTAATAATTTTAATTAACAAATAAATTTTTTAATATTCTCAAAAATAAACTTTAAATCTCCTTAAACAAAGTTTTCATCTGTTGAAAAAGTTTGGCAGTTTAATTTTTCAACAGTTAAAAAATTCAACTTTGATTAAAATATGCAGATTTGTAACAGTATAAAAATATTTGCATATCTTAATATAAAACCATTTATAATCATCATTCATATAATTTAAAATCAAAACAAAAATATTATTTAGAAATGATTAATTATTCATTGTGACAATGTGACAATGTCACAATGCTGGGCTGCAATTTTTAATTATTTTTTAAAATTTATTTAATTTAAAATAGATGCACACCTAAATTAGTAGTGCCTTGACCCAGTACAGTACATCATACTTTTCCTGTTAGCAACAGAGTCATGCTAGTCATTATCTAATTCTTTTCAGGGAAAAATTTTTTAATTGAAAAAACATGATCTTGGGTTTGCATTAGAAGTTCATATATAGTTAATTGGGGCCTCCTGCCCCAAAGCTTTTCATATCTAGTCTCATCTTTGATCCATCTAACTCCATTCTTGAGATAAGGAAGGACAGACAGATAATAACAGTGGATTTTTATAGGTCTACAATTTTTTCAAATTGCAGCCTAATAATATGAAATAATAATAATAAACATATACTAACACCATTCCTTTCAGCACAACATTTATTTCACAAATGTTTTCAGCCTCTTTAATAGTCCTTTTTTCAGGTTACAACTATACTGAAGCAACAGTCCAACCATCCAATTTATTACTTCGTGCTGATTGATAGATTTCTTAAACTTACCAACAAAAAGAAGCATAAACTTGAAGATCTGATTGTAGTAAATCTAACAGTTTTATTCACAAAGCCCAGGATAAGAGAATTGCCATGAGGTGGGTTACCACTACTATTAATCTAAAGTCCTGCCAGTCAAAGTTGATTGGCCTTAAGAATGCTAAATTTCCACACAAAGACCCAGATGCAAAATTGAAAGTAGTAATCAAGAGAAAGGACTAGTAAGAGGAGCCTCATGGTATCTGAGAACAATTAGATGCAAATCACCAATAAATGGACGTTGAAAACACTTGCTGTACTGATGATTTTTGTGTAATGCCAAATTTTAAACCAGCTCATTAATTAATTGTATTTTAATTTAATAAAACTTGATTTAGATAGTTTCCTGCTAGTAAATTATTTATTCATACCAAAGAAAATTCTACTATTACTCTAGTAACGTAATTACTTAGTTTTGTAGGATCACCATTCAAATAAAAATTGATTATTATTATTAAATATATCATTTAAAAAAAAATCAACTTTAGTTACAAGTACTTGATTACATTTATAAAAGTTATCTAAATATATAAAATTGCTTGTTCTGACTGACTGACTGAATGACTCACTCACTCGCTGATTCACATCACCCAGAGCAGACCGCTTAACCTAAAGAGGTGAAATTTGGTAGACAGTTAGGGTACGTCATGGAAACGCACACTAAGAAGGGATTTTTCGAAATTCCTCCGCGGGGGAGAGGGAGAGCATTAAGGCTTAACCAGAAGAATGGCTTCTACTGTACTATTTTAGATGCAATTTTTTGTTTTCAACTGCGTTTTAGTAGGGTATGCCATGGCAATGCCCACTAAGAAGGGATTTTTCGAAATTCCCGCGCAGATGGGAGAGGGAGAGGATTTAGTCTTCATCAAGTACTTAGGTGTATTAAATTAATAACATTTCAGACATTGTTATAAATATTTTTATCTATTTCTATTTTTAAAATGTTCGAACCGTTTTAAATTCAAATTTGTTATTGCGTATTGGTTCGATTATAGAACGATTGTAAACGTTCCAGAAAATTGTTCAAATTGAAAATAGTTTGTTTGATTCTTGGCAATTCTCATCATTCTCAGCGGTAGGTGTTATATAACAATTACTATAGTTGTTGAAATACTGAATATAAATGGGGTTTGCTTGCAAAATCCGCACGGGCAGAGCCGCGAGTATAAGCTAGTATTGTTTATAAAAAATTAAAAATACACTATTATAAGATAACATTACTGTATTTCTGCATATAAAAGAGCATACTCTTGTAGATGGGATAAAGTCAGTACTACTGACAGATGTGAAAAAATGACTGAAATGGGAACGACAGATCAAGGTTTCACTATATTCTCTAAAATGAAATTATACTTGATAATTATAATATGACTTGAATTCTGTTTATATAATTGTATTTGACTTTCTATTATCACCTCTTCACACTAATAACATTTTTGATATTAATCGTCGAACATACAAACTAATATTTTTTAAATAATATTTTAGCACAGTAATGTGCATAAGAAAATATTAGTTAATATGTAATAAATATTCTTACCAGTATATAATTATTGTTAATTTCATCTAGTGCCTTATTTATCTTTAATATCATTTGACATGGCACAGCTTGGCCTATATGGCTCTTGTGCCAATACAGTACATACAAACTAACCAACCATTTATCTTTAAATATTCAGTCCTAAACATAGTTTATCAATCAAATATGTCAGAGACAGTATTGTTGATGTATATCATAACTATGTATTTGACTATTTATAAAACTATTGGCATACGTTTCTACAGTTAAGTTTTTTGAATATACTATTCTGCTTTTGATATTTTTAATTAATTTGTTAATTTTATTAGCTTAATATAAACTTTGCAAATTAGGCCTAGTATAATTTAATGCATTTGCTTGATTTACATCTCACAAAATATCTTGTACTAATTAAATAAATATTCATGTATTGACAATACTTTTCAAATCTATTAGTCACATATTGGATAACGAACCTTCGGTATTATAGAAAATACTGTAGTTTAGACTCGAGCTACTCGTCAGTATTATAAATTCAAAACTTTTCAAATTAATGCAATCAAAAATAATATAAGATGCCTTGAATGCTTATTATTATTGTAATTTATTAATTAAATGACAAAGGCTAAAAAAAAATATCTTTTATAAATGTGTCCACGACCTTTCAAAGTTCCTGAATCATATGAATTAAAGGTCACCATACTTGTCTCTGAAATATGGGGGGGGGGGAAATAGTAATATTGTATATTAATTTTCACACCAAAGACCTAACTTCAATCAAAGAGCCGACATTTTTTCACATGGTCCAAAAACGTTTTCGTGAAAGAATAATTTATCATCTCATCTTCAGCGATTTACATTAGACGTTGAATTTTTTGTGTGTATTTTATGTATTGATTTTTAATAAAATTTATCAATGTATAAACATCATCTGTAAACACCTTAGATACTATTTACAAAAAGACTTTATTAATTTATATATTTTATATAATTATGCAATCAGCATTTACCTGAATCACCTTCAATGAAATCGGTTGCGATTGTGGTACGCACAATATCGCGTGCGATATCGGTAATTTAACGGGTTCTCTTTCGATCGCAGTCATTTTTTAATACTTCGATTCGCTTCTGTTACCGGATATAAAATTATTTCTGTATAATTTCACCGAACGAACTACTCTAACAATACTACAATATGCTCAATCACTCTTATGCCGGATGACGACTCAACTTTTTGCACATTCATTCTGTATGAAAAATGCACTTAAATATAGCCAAATACGACGAATTTATAAATAAGTGCCGTATTAATATTTTAACAAATATATAAATTAATAATTTATAAAATAAGTTATTATTTTAAGTATTTAAAATAAAAAATATCTTTAATATTTTTTATGGAAATACAGTATAATTAATACAGTAATTAATATCTAATAGACCAATATTTATTTATACTGTATTTCCATTTTATTGCACATATTTGTCTATCATTAACGCACAATTAATTCTACAGTTGATACACAAGAATTTTTCTACCGAAAAATCGTTGTTTTTAATACTTGTTCTACCCTCTGGGCATTAGGATTGTTCTTCAATATGATAGATATTCAATAGAACGAAGTGATAATGGGCAATTAGACTCAACATATCAGAATTAAAACATCCTGAAAAGTTTCGGATTCGAAATTGTATTCTTCACAGTGCGACGTGCTGGCCGCTCTGAAGAATCTAATTTCTGGATGATCCGGGTGGCAAGCGCCCCGCTTAGCTGTCCGGATTATTCAGCTATCCAAAATCGATTAAGATATGAATGTAGTGTACACCTGGAGAAAAATGACGATACAATCCAACCTTTTGGCTATGTACACACTAGGCGTTTTTTTAAACGCGCGTTAGCTCGGCATTCGATGACCGTTTAGTGGAGCATACGCACTGGCTCAGTTTGGAAATGGACGTGAAAGTAATTGCTTGTGTGCGCCTTCTCCATCGTCGCTATAAAAGACGATGGCAGAGGCAAAGAAAATTTAGGGTGCACCCAATATTACGAGATAGACTGACGCATGGAATGTTTGCGACGTTGTATCCAAAACTAAGACAAAATGAACCCAAGTTTTTAAAATCTTTTAAAATATCTATAAAATCATTTGACGATGGTTGGTCTCTTTTACATTTCATCAATAAATAGATCAGTATCGAAATGATCGTTCTCCACTTCGGCCAACGTACGTCCACTCTACCCGAAAGCGCGCGATCGAATGTACAACAACATGGCAGCACATATATCTCAAAGCGCTCGGCTGACGCCGGCAAAACGCGCGTTTTAAGAAAAATCTATCAACGCGCGTTTGACGCGCGCTTTGCCAAAAACGCGCGTTTGAGTACAGTAATACCCCGAACTTACGTGATAGGTGGGACCGAGCGGTAACCGCGTAAGTCGGGGTATAATTTCGCACATAAATACATACAAATAATTTTTAATTGGAGCCGGAGACTAAAGAAAACAATAATTTAGAAAAAAAAACGTTTAATAAAATCTTAGATAATACATATGTATAACAAATTAGGCCTATATTATTTTACAATTTTTCACATTTACTTGATTATTACGCCATAATTTTAACATTGTTTCCATCTCAGCGATAATATTGTGACGTTTCTTCGGTGTTGTTTATATGGAGATTTTAGCTCAATTTAGGCTCTTTCTCCAAGTAGACTTGTGTGTGTATGATCGCTATGCGACCGATTTGCCAGCCGTATCCGAACGGCCTATTGTGACGTTTACAAATGCTGCTTGAATTTAAAGATTGAGCATTTTTTCTTTGTCTTTTATAATTGTTCTGACCGACAATTCCGGTAGATCAAACTTCTTTGCCAATTCACAAATTTTCATTTTTGTATCGAAGTATTTAATAATGGGTACGTTCGTAAAGTCAAACGAGTTAAGTAACGAATCGTTCGAAAAGTCTAACGAAATAGGAATAACGATGACGTCATTCTCGTTTAACTCGTTCAACTTTACGAACATACCCAATGTTAACTTTACATTCCAAACATAAAGTTTTTCTTTTCTTGTTTGATGTAGAATTAGTTTTACTTCGTTTGGATGACATAGTAGAGTCGCTCAAGTCTCCGTAGATATAACAAACACAGAAATAAATAACACAAAATAAATTGTAGCTATATGTCGATTCCGCGCGACATGTCCGAACATGTAAGATGAACAATAGTGTGGGGGGAATGAGTAATCAAGAGTTGCATGGCGCTCAAACAAAAGACGAATCGACGAGATTTGAAAATCGCGTAACTCCTGGTTCGCGTAAGTCGGGGTAGCGTAAGTCGAGGTATTACTGTATGTATGCCTATGCAGAACTCTTGGTTCTTTAAAACGCGCGTTTAAAAACTCCTAGTGTGTACATAGCCTTAAAATTTCAGCAAGAAATTTACTAGAATAAAAACTTTTTTGACCAGAATTTATTGATATTCTTCTGTTACAGTATATAGCATTCGTTTTGAAACTAGAGAAGATCAATAAATTCTGGTCGAAAATGTTTTTATTCTAGTAAACCTCTTGCCGGAATTTCAAAGGTTGGATTTTACTTATAAAATACGATTGCCCAATGTAAATAAATGATGAGAATGGTAATTCCAGTACATATAGAAAAATCATGAGAACCCTGACGAATCACAACGTCGCCGGAGATCTGGATCGTATCAAACTTTGATGTCTCATAGCGATAGGAATGTCTTTTAACGCATAATCATCGATCTAAATTCTGATTAATTAATCAATCAATGTTTAGTTTGAAAAATGCCAGTTTTAGCTATGTCGAGTACAGTTTCTCCATATGCGGCATATTTGGCAGCCCAATGCCCGAGACGATAAAGCCTCATCCTACCGTTTTCGGGACCAGAGTTCGAGTTTTGCAAGGGGGTCGGTTCTGGAGATATCGATTTCCTTCAATATATTTTTTGGCTGCTCTCATTGTGGGCCTGTCCACGATGGGCATGGAACACAAAACTCTCTTAATGCCGACAGGGCGGAGAGTAAATAAATAAATAAAAATTTGATGCTCTGAGGTACCCGAATCCAGTCTGGATCAAGAATCTCAAGAATTTTTCAGGAACGGGCTGCCACGGATAGATCGGGCTCCTTCCCTCAATCACCCGGCCAGGCTTACGAGTTAGATTAAATGTCTTCTAAACTATTCAGGGCGAAAATTGTTTAAAAATTGAATTTATTATCCTAAACTATTAATTATAAAAATCTATATATCATTGCAATTTTGTAAGAACTATTAAAAAGTAAAAGTTAGAAATAATATTCAATATTTATATTTCCTTTCAAAATTAAGACGAAAGATTGTAAATAATTCCGTCTGGTGTCGCTGTACTATCTATTAACTGGTAGATTACGAGTACAGTATATCAGTGCATGAACTATCATGTGGTAAATATGTAAGATTTTTGTTTTTATTAGACTGAGTTATTGGTGCAGTTTTTAGTAGGCGTCACTTTAGTCGAAAAGTATCATTTAATATTAGGTTTGCATCATTTGTATACTGTATATGATCAGTACAAAATGATCTCATATATCAAATTACTTTATAAATAAATAAATAATAATAATCATGGGAATTATAAAATAAAGAGAATCTTAAAATTTGATTTCACATTTTATTTTTTGGAAGAAATTTTGTATTAAAAAAGATCTCGTCATTTTTTTTAAATACAGTATTTTAAAATACAGTAGAAAGTTTTTATCAAGATTAATTGAATTTTTCATTCTGAATTGCAAAACATTCAATCCACTTTGCATTGTTTTACTTTTATCCTAATATTTTAGTAATTGAAATAAATAATAAGTTTAAAATTGCAATTATGTGATTAAATAAGAATTATCGTTGTGTAAACTATTTTAATTCTTTAATACGTTGGCCAGGATGGTTTTAATATGTAACAAGCTTGGTCAAGCCAATCTCTTAGCACGCTCCACAAAAGCCAATTGAATATTAATTTTGTTTAAAATAAATTTTATAAATTCTTGTATCAATCAAGTAGTTCAATCAAAAGAATCAAGTAGTAGTTGTGCATGCATGTGGACATTCTCAATGAATGGAATATAACACTTAGATAATGAAAGTGAAGTCATTGTGCATGCACATGGAAATCTGACAGATGGCATAAGCATTTCACCACTATAGTGAAGAATGCTAAAAATGTAGAAGAAATTATAAATGTCTTCGTTATGTCTTTTTGCACACCTCAGGAATGCAACTATTTTTTCTTGGTGAAATCGACCTATTAGAGGCTGCTTGTCCACCACAATATGCAAAAAAACATTAAAAAATTTAAAAATGTTTTTTGCATATTGCGGTGGATGAGTAGCCTCTAATAAAAGATGGTCTTCTTCAAGAAAAACGGTTGTTCCTGAGATGTGTGAAATGACTTAATGAAGATGTTTATAGTTTCTTCTATTTTTAATTCTATTTAACTATATTTTAATTCTAGTAGTAATTGATGTTCTTTTACATGAAGTTTCTTAAGATGTTGTTTTGATATTTTTAATGTGTAATTTGCATTATGGTATATTAGAAATGTTATGTTCTTAATTAGCTATTTTACATAAAGGAAAAAGCCTTTTTGTTTTTTATTCCCCATCATAGATTGGGTATGATTGTATGAGGGAGACCCAATATATTCAAATCAAATAATCTAAAAAAATTTCAGGTTTGGATTTATACAATACCTGAATTCCATAGAAAGCAGCTATTTTTACTCCCTCGGTCATCTAGCCACCATCAGAACATCATACTTTTAACCAATTTTTATTTAACTAAGGTGAACTTTTTCAAAAACATGTGTTTTTAGTTTTTCTTTTAGCTTCTTTAAGAGAAACAGCTTGAATTATTTAACAACTTGATCATAAAAAGTTTGTTAATAGACAGATTTTTTTTGTAATAAAATATAATCTGGAAATGATGTAGAAATTAGCTAAACAATTGGTTTTTGATTAGAAATATGGAAATGCATCAGATTAATTAAATAAGTATAGTAAGTCCTCACTTAATGTATCAATAGATTTTTGGAAACTAACTTTAACCAATTTTTTCATAGGTTAATTAATATAAACAAGTTCATATTTCTAATCTGAAAAACATCACCAAACTCTTCTGCTGAAACTTGAGCATTTTGGTCATGTGGGTCGTTTCAAAGAGCTTTCATTCTTAAGCTGACTTCTTTGTTCCTTGATGAATTACACAGTATATTAGAACTAATGGGATTTGTGGTAGAAATATATAAAAAATTTATGGAATTTACCTTTTCATTGACTCCTTAATGGATGTGTCCCATTAAAGCCTTGAATGGCTTGGCTTTCTCATGGATAAATTTTCCAGTATATGGTATTCTTTCCAGTATATTCAGTATATACTTTAAGAGAAGATCTAGTTCTATTTTCCCTTATATCATTCTCAGTTTGTTTTATTTTGGCATTTTGCACAATTTTTCCACCAACTCCAGTATTTATTTGCCATTTTGGCTGATTTTTTTTAATGGACCTCTCTGCATTTAACATTTTTCTCATCTTTTGCCATATAATCTCCAGTGAACTCACTATTTGTGGCACTTTGTGGATTTTTTCCAAAAGCTGGGTGTGTTTCCTACCACTCCTCTGAAATTTCCATTTTTAACTTTCACTTCAATACTGTATGTATGTTTCCACTAAAGACCAATATGCAAGTATCATGGGTGTGACTGTCTCAAAGAAGGCACAATTAGTTGATAATGCAGAAAAGAGAGAGAGAGAATCATATATGATATATATTCAAAATACTCCAGGTACAATTATATCTTATGCACAATTGCAATCATTTACTGTATACATACATTATTAGTCCAAAATACAGCCCATAGACAGGATGCCATTGCATTGCAAGGTACATACCCCCTACCCACCCAAATTCATACTGGGCCAATTTAGAACACCTTTGGGATGGCTGAAAAAAATCCATGCAAGCACAGAACATGCAAATGCCATATAGACAATGTGCCCAGCCAAGAATTTTTTTTTCTCCTCAATGTTATAACAAAACAATGCCATTCAAGGATTTGATGTATTATATTTATCTTAAGACTAAAATATATATATTTGAGAAATACAGTGATATTTGGTTATTTAATTTGATTTATACATATGGAGTTATACTTTCTTTTGTATCATTCTCAGCTTATAATGGTATTTTCAAAAAAATTTTTTGTAGTGTAATTCAATAAAATTTTATTTCTTAGCTGCAAGATGATGTAATTTACACAAACATTTTTAAAATATGTTCTCAGACTAAACTTTTAAACTAGTAAGAAGTGTGAAATCTGGAATTTCTACTGATTTTTTTTTTCTGGTCAATGTCCCGTTATTACCTAAAAACCAATTAAATTTCCCCAAGAAACTAGAGTGGAAACAACTTGAAAGAGGGAGAAATATCAACATTCCCTTTTTTCCAAGGTAAACATGCACCCATCTCGACAATATTCCCACACTACGAACTTAAAAGTTGACAGTTAACATACAATTGCGTCGTTTTATTTGGGTTCTGGGGACAACTCTGACCTCCTCGCATACCTTTTGTCCCTCACTAATTAATCACGTGATAGTTTTCTCACCGCGAAACGATAAAAGCCACTTCTCACCCCTCCTTGGGGAGAGTCATTCCGAGGATTTATGTTTAATTTGTGCCCTACGTTTGTGCTCTAGGATATCTACATCTAGAAAGAGGAATGGAACCCACTTCTTTGAACTCTCTCTTGGCCCCTTCGTGCTTTAGGTACTCAGAATTTTCACTTGGAATTCTGTGATGATAGATTATTGTATATTCTATGTAGTTAACCAGTAAATCATTGTTTCTTTGTTAAATTGGTGTCCTCTTTTACTCGTATATCGTCTGTTGCCTTTCTGATGGCACTCCTCCCTCCTACCCTCAACCAAACAAAAGAAAATTTGTCCTGTCCCCTCGGGATAAATAAAAGAAAAAAATTAAGCCATCACTGACTAGTGGGCAAGTCCCTCTGACTTGAAAGCCGATCCACAGAGGTATGACGTAGTCATACCCCCTCGGTTCTCACAGAAGTGAAGATCCATCTTTATTTTTATTATGTGTACTTGTTTTATTTGCCATTCATAATAATTTTTTTGTAATGAAAGAAGAAATGGAGAATAATTAAAAACATTGATAAAATTCAAAACAAATGTAATCTATACTAATATTATAAAGAGGTAATGTTTGTAAGTTTGTATGTAGGGGTAATCTCCGAAACTACTCATCTGATTTCAAAAATTCTTTCATCAATATTTAGAATGGAACTTCAGGGTGGACATAGGCTGTATATTATTCTGTTAAACATTCATATAAATTAAAAGATATCATCTAGAGTTAAGGCTTTTATGTCCAACAGATGGTGCTACAAGTACGACAACCTAAGTTTGCTTTTCTATGAGGCATTATACTTTTCTGTGAAGATGAACTAAAGCAAATCATCTTCTATCTATCTATATAAATAAAAATGTAATGTTTGTTTGTTCCTACTGATTCCTTTGAAATTTTGACACAATGCTGCATTCGAATATGCACGTGTTTTTATATAATATACATGTCGAAATTCCCCCCACTGGGGGGAGATGGACAGGATTAAGGCTTACTGTAAAGAACTCTGCTTCTATTATACTATTTTAGATGCAGTTTTTTGCGTTTTTGATTGCATTTTAATAGGGTACATCAAGAGAATGTACACTAAGAAGGGGTTTTTCGAAAAATTCCCCGCCTCGGGGGAAGTGTTATACATTGATAATAGATACATTTTGAGCCACAACAACATGTGGCAGGGTCTGCTAGTCAATTAATACATGGGAGAATGGCTTATATTCCAACAATCATCCATGTACCTGTTGTTATAAGATTCAAAGAGAAAAAAAATTGCTTTCTTTGTGTGATCTCTCTTGAGATTCTTATTGTTCTAATCTTTTGTTACATTACAAAAGTTATTTCCTACAATTTTAGTCTGAAAACATTTTTAGGGAGCATTGTAAATCAAACTAATCTTAACAATTTCATTTTATATAACCAGGATTTTATTAATTTAATTTCTTACAAAGTTCTATTAAAACTCCACAGTTGCCATGCAAAAGATCAAAGTAAAAAATTTATCACAATGAAAATATTTTTTTATTCTTTATTAGAATATATAGAGAATAACATATAAAATAAAACTTAATTTGATAATTGGTTCACATATTCACAAAAAAATAAGTTTTTTCTGATTTTAATATGAAAATTATATAATTAAAATTTTAATAAAAATAAGTTAATAGGATCTAACTCCTGATTTTTGAAAATCATTTTATAGAATTTGATTTTGTAATATAAATTTTTTTACATTCTATTTTTTAAGTTTTTATTTTATCTAGTTTTTTCAGGTATTGCATTTGATAACTTCCCTTCATAACAAACCCAAAATACAGTATTAAAGTGAATGTAAAACATATATAAAACAATATAAAAAAAATAAGTAAACATAAAACATGTTTTATTTTAAATGCCATATAAAATGATTCAGTTAGATTTATGGAACAGAATAAATCTAATTGGCTTATTGTTTATTTAATTATATTGTATAATAATAATAATAATAATAATAACTCATTAAATGTCAAGGATATTTTTAAGTTCTAAAATTTTTTGTTTATTACAGATAGATATGGATTTTTATCATTTATGCATTGTTGGTGCTGGTATGATAGGATCTGCTACAGCTAGGCATGCATCTGCAGATCCATCATTGAAAGTGTGTCTCATTGGCCCAGATGAACCAAAGGTTAAAAATTGATTTCACGTAAGCTTATAAATTTTTAATCATTATTTAGTGTTTTCACTTTAAAATTTTTTTTATAGGATTGGAATAATGTAGATATTTTTTCTGCACATTATGATGAAGGCAGACTGACGTATGTCATTCAAGACTGTGTTGTTGATCACCAGCTTACAAAGTGCTCAATGGCTCGTTATCGAGAGATTGAAAAATTATCTGGTAAGACTTTAAGTTACAAATGCACTTTTTTATATATTCTGTAATAAAGTTCATTTCAATCAAATTATAATTAGAGAAAAAAAGTAAAATGTATAGTCTACAGAGTATTATTGAAGAAATTATTTTTATAAATCTTATTAACAGTTATATTTAATTAATTTCTAAACTTAGAAATATAATATATAGGCTAGACTATAATAGACAATAATGCAATTGGTTAAATGTTGATAAAATATTTATTAAATATGTAATATGGATAAATAAAAAAAAAATACTATGATATGTTATAATAATTGAGTAGATGAGATAAGAACTCTATTTGATATAATATACATTGCAGGCCAAAAGCAAAAATTAAATTGTATTTTAGTATAACAACAACAACTTAACAGTAAGCATTTATGTTCAAAACAAACATTTTTCAATCTGCTTTGAGTTATCTTCATTTATCATGTTACATTAAAAAATATCATAAAAGAATAATTTAAAAATTAAATATTTGAAGCGTATGTTCAAAGCTTCTGTCTGACAATTTGCATCTCTGTGGTGTTAATATTTGCCACCCACAGAAAACAATCTTTTAACAGCAGCTTTACTTAGTAAAGTTGTGTGATATTTTACAAGTTTTTTTTTATATGTTTACTAGCTGCAAGGACCTGCTTCGCTGGGTTTTTATTTGATTCGTACATTTGTATATAATACAGTTTTTGCTTTTGTCTATAAAAGACTGTTTTTCTAAGTAATCTAGAATCTAGCTGCAAGGACCTGCTTTGCTGGGTTTTTATTTGTGGGAAAAAAGTAACGATAGTGAGGATTAAGATAATTACATTGTAGCCAATCTTACCCGTTTTCACAGAATGCAAGAATTAGATCCCCCATTTCCAGACTAATTAGAGACCTGGTCCGATTCTATTTCTACATCTCCCATTCACGTCCAGTCAAACGAACTATTTTCAACGTTTCTGGAACATTTACAATCATTCTATAATCGAACCAATATTCAAATGTTATGTTCAAAATAGAAAACCACTTTCAACCACTTTCAGCCCCATATCTCCCGCACCCTTATAGCTATCGAGACGCAACCCCCATAGTGCACGAATGGAGACTTGGGGCTACTACCACATACAAACACCATTCATGTGCGATGTGTAGTTTTGGCGGAAAAGTGAAATATAGGGACACACACGTCCATTTATATATATATATATATATATATATGCATCCAAGAAAATAAGATTGATATCTGCTAAGTATGCATTAACCTTATCTTTATAAAAATTTCTTCTGCTTAATTAAGTTTATTTTCCAAATATTCAAATAAACATGGGCTTTTGAAGCTCTCTTCTTGTTTCTGCAGATTTGTCATTTTATCAGTTTTGTCACTTGTTGCTTTCATGATATTCCTCTTCCTTATTAATAGCAAATTTTTTCATTGAAACATATAATGAACATTTATGAACAACTATTTTTTTATATTTTTGTTAAAAGGAAGAAGTTTATATTTAGGAAGTAAAGATGTTGGTATGGCTAGAGTTCTAAATCATTTACTTTGTTATACTGAGAAACTGCATGGCAAGATTCTAGGACAAATGTAGCAAATTTTCGTCCCCCCCAAATTGTAGAGCCCCCTGTGCGAGCATAAAAGTCAAAAGGACCATGCCCATATGGGCGAGCCTTCGCAAGATATAGCCCTCCAAAGATGTGCCTACGTCATATTCGGTCATGTGACTCTGTGCCCAAAAGGGACAGTGTCATGTGGCCGAAATTTTTTTTTCTTTTTCGGTTTTCCCCATCTCAGTGTTGGAAAAAAGTGCGTGCTCCTCTTCCTTAGCCCCCAGCGCACGTCTCCCCCTCCTGTCCATGCCACTGCAGTCTCCCCCTCGCACATGGCCGGCGGGCTGAGTCTCCCGCCTGCAGCCTTCCAGAATCGCCATCTGTTGCCTGTAAATACAAATATCTATTATTATTACACCTCTTACCTCAGTCGGGGCTCGAACCCCAGTCCAGCCGGCGCCGATCCACTTCTCTCCGCACCGGTCCGCTAGGTCGCTCTGCCAGAAACACTTCACAACTCATACTTGAGCCATGCTAGGCTGAGGAGTGCACTGATGTGCCCTCCAGACGACCCCCAGAGGATGTGCATGATGGGCCCTCCAGACAACCCCCCTCAGCCGCACAGATGCAGTGTGCCGTGCCACGCGACCACCCCTCGGCTGTGCAGGTGCAGCAGACCCGTCGCATGGCCAACGGCCAGGCGGCTGCAGGTCACGTGACCTACCCCTGCTCCCCAAGGTTTCATAAGCCTTCAGGCCACCTTTGGACATTTTTGGCCGGTGTTTGTTACCGCAATAGTTAGGAGTACAAGTCAGGAAATATCCAACATTTCTGATATTCCAGTAAATATCCAACATTTCTGATATTCCAGTAAATATTCAACATTTGTGATATTTGAGGCAACAGAAGCGAACGCAACAGGTAATGGTCATTATTGACAATTTTCTAAATCCGAAACGACTGCATTTACTTTACTTCTTCCCAATAGTAAAGTGTTTCCATAATGTACAAGGTATAGTGTGGAGAAAGTAAACGAATTGGACAATTGTCACGAAACAATGCTGAATGAAGAGATTAAAAGGGAGCTTGCAAGTTGTGTATCATATCATTCTGGAATTTTAGCAGAAACATTTCTCAGCGACAGTTTTCAATTCACTGGAAAGCGATTCAGATTATTCCAGTTGAATTTTATGATATTAAGGAATGAGTTTGTGCTTTGTCTGAGATTACATGTATCAGGAAAACCAAACCTATCTGTGTACATAACGAACAAAATGATTGCTTATTACACATTTGTGATGAGTATGAGGCAGGAAAGCTGTAATTGAAGTACAACGGAAAAGGCAATTTCTACATTAAAAGTTTTCCTTGCATTAAGATTGCAAAGAGCAATGGTTTTCAAAAATCAAATGCAGATGTTAAAATTCCAGAATGAGATGAGAACGCTTGTTGCATCTTATTTCGATCTCATTCGGTATTGGTTCGTGACAATTGTTCAATTCATTTACTTTCTCCACACTACTTTGTATGTTATCAAAAGACTTAGTTACTTCTTCAAAGAAGTAAAATGATATTGTTTCAGAATTTTTAAATTGTCCATTTGTAATCACATTGCAATGTAATCTCGAATTCCCTTTCGTCGTCTCGATTATCACAATTAATGAAATTGGAATATAGTTACTTTCAAGTATTGCATTGTTTTAAAGAATATCCAGAACATTTAAAACTGCTTTTAGTTTGGTGACATGTTCTGTCTTCATCTGATCTTTGAAAAGCATTGCTCTTTGCAGCTTTGAGTGTTAATAAGGCAAGGAGAAGTTTTTATGTAGAGATTGCCTTTGCATTCCTACTTCAATTACAGCTTTCCTCTTCATGAAGATGTCCAGATTTCGACTGTTCTCAACCCGGAAGTTGAAGTTTAATTGATGGTTTAGAAAATGTAAGGTCGAAAATGAATGAAATAAACAATCTTTTTTTAGAAACGAAACAAATCATGAACGATGTGGTTCGTATGGAATGGATGCCTAACCTCAACAAATACGGATTTGGAGCAGTTGCTGATGCTTCCACAAAACATAAGTTGAAGTCAGTCTTTGAATCGAATGCTTGCAGCATTTGGAAAGGGTTGCGAAAAATCACAGTTGGATTTTTCACGCAAACTTCTGTTATTAGTGGCAACAGAATGTTTGGTGGTGAAGGTGTACGTGTGACGATCGACCGACGTTTCTGTCTTCGAATGTGATAGAGATAACAAAATAGAAGCGCACTCGATATAGAGCGGCGGCAGCGGAGAAAGTGTTGGTAAATTAGTGGTAATAATCAGGCTTTTCTTTGGTCTTTGCCGATGGAAGTGTCGTTAGAAAACGGCTTGCTACCTATTAGATACGTGATAGGCTTAGCAGAGAGAGACCAAGCAAGGCGCGACTCCCCATGGTGCTCCCCGGAAGTGGCAGTCGAAAGGTGGTGATCCTCGTGTTTAGGATGGTTTTGGGAGTGTCTAGTAAGTTCTAAAAAAGGCAAAAAATGCCATGGTTTTGAGATTTAGTTTTCCATGGTTTCGAGATTTTGCCTTTTGATGGTGTGGCAGGCTCTACTGGACAAGGATATTTAATTTTCAATCATATTTAAAGTGGAACGCATGCACATTCAAACTAATCCTATTGTTTGATCTTATTTAAATATCTTAACAGAAACACATGCACATATGGTATCTGAAATCTATTACCATTTGATTTATATTTAAATGTTAACTGTCAGCTTGTTTTGAATAAATAAGAAGCCTGAAGAAGAGCCCAGAAGGGGTTACAAGAACGTTCGCAAATGTTAATCATAACACCGGTTAATTGGTTAATGTCAGTCACACTTTTTATATCTATCCTGGTGTGTTGTGCAGTGAAGTAGAATTGTAGTTTCAAGCCACAGCATTTTAGGCAATTCCTTTTTTAGTTTAAATTAAAAATGAATTTTATTTTGGTACATGCTTACATATTAAATGAGAGTTGCAGTTTGAATTCTGCTTTGAACTTTTTCCAAACCACTAAATTATTAAATGAATGTAATTGTGAAAAATTATATATATAACAATTTCTTTATTTTAGTATCAGATTTAATTAAATTATTAAATTATTTTGATCTGATGTAGATAAAACATTAAAACTAAAATACAAATAAAATCCAGATTTTTTACTTTCCTGGCTGTTATACATAACAGAGGGAAAGTATGACAGTGGTCAAAAAATGACCCCACCAGATTTTTTCATTTTTGACTCAGGACACCTTAAAACATCGAGAAATGCAAAAAAAAATTCCAGAATTTTTTCTATATGTATAGATGTTAGCGTGTATTTGGGGCACTATTTTGTTCATCTTTTTTCCAAACTTATTAATAACTCCTGTGCTTTTTGTCAAAAATTTTTTATACTTTGTAGGGAGGTTTGTTTATTAGGGAGATTGATGCAATTAAACTTTGGTTGTTAAAGATTGAGGGGGTGGGGAGATGAAGGAGGTTATGTGTATCTCTGATAGAGTCAGACTTAATGATGATTTTACTTGCTATTAACATGTACAATTTTTTGTAAAACCCATCTCTATCCTCAAAATTGAGCTTTCTGCTATTTTATAATAGTTAAAAATATAAAGTTTTTAATAAAATATCAACAGATGGAACCATCAAATGTTGCCAGGAGAGTTAAGTAACTTGTTGCTGGATTTTTTTTCTTTGGAATTGCAATTTATTATTTGTGATTTATTTTTGTGTGGGTCAGTGCTCCTTAATAATGCCCATCTTTTATTTCCTTTTCTATTTCTATATATACATTCATATGGAAAATTAAAAGTATGCATTGTTGTTACAGAGCATTGATCTATACAAAAAGAAACAAAAATAATTTTTTTAAGACAATAAAGCACAATTTTTTCTTCAGTTGTTTTTGCAATTTGTTCTTATATTAAATAGATTATCCTTAATCATTGTCATGTTCATTTTGTTTTGAATTTTAGCAATTATTTAAAAAAAACCTATATTTTAATCATAATGTATTTACATTTTTAAGTATATGAATATATATGTTGAAGTTTATTTTTATTAGAAGTTAATACTTACTTTTTGGTTTCTTAATTAATTAATAATTGCTTATTGTAAAATTTCCATTAATATAATTTTTTTCATTAAGTACAATTTAAAAAATAAAAAATTATATTTTAATTTAGGAATATCATTTTACAATCCTGTTGGGTGTCTGTATATTGGTGAAAAAAATATTGATCACACTGTTCGACTACAAAATGCTTGTGTTGTCAATAATGTGCCTGTAGAAGATTTATCTGATGACTCTATGTTTAAACAAAAGTAAATACCTATTTAATATAATAAATGTGAACATTCTTTTATAATTAGAGTATAAATTGTATGTTTATTAATTATATTGGGTTGTTTGGAAAGTACTTTAGTTTTTTTTTTTTTACCACTAGACAGATTAGTCGTATTTTTCCTGCCATTTTTATTCTAAACCGTATTATCATTATATATTTTGACAGCTAGCATTTTAAGGCTTATTTGTAAAAAATTTTGTTTGATTTTGTGCAATTGTTTTTTTTTGTGTCCCATCAAATATGGAAGATCAAAAGCAGCATTTTCAGCATATTTTGCTCTTTTATTACTGAAAAGGTAAGAATGCTGTTCAAGTGAGAAAAAAATTTTGTGACGTGTTTGGAGAAGATGTATTGACAGAACGACAATGCCAAAACTGGTTTACAAAATTTCGTTCCAGCAATTTCAATATTGAAAATGCACCACATTCTGGAAGGCTAGTTGAAGCTGATAAAGACAAAATAAAGGTATTGATTGAAGCAAACTGCCGAATAATAACACATGAAATTACATTAAATTTGTCAAATTGAACCGTTTATGATTACTTGAAACAAATTGGTTTCATTTCAAAGCTTGATATATGGGTTCCACATGTTCTTAAAGAGAGATGCTATCTTTGGTGGGATTTTAAGGAAATTTTTTTTTTTGGAGCTTTTACCAGACAATTTAACAATTTATTCAAAAGTATACTGCCATCAAGTAAACAAATTGAGTAATATCATCAAACAGAAAAGGCGGCCAGAATTGATCAACAAAACAGGTGTAGTGTTTTACCAAAATAATGTCAAATTTAACACAAGTTTGGTAACTTGTCAGAAACTGTTATAACTTAGATGGGTCCTGCTATCACACCGACCATATTTGCCAGACTGAGCACACTCAGATTATTACTTGTTCCAGTCTATACAAATTTTTTTTAACTGTATGACATTTACTTGAAATGACAATGTCAAAAATCACTTGGATCAGCTTTTTGTAAGCAACGATCAAAACTTTTATGAATGTGAAATCATGCTGCTACCAGAAATGATGACAACAGGTATTTGACCAAAATGATTGATATATAATTCAATAAAATATTTATTATAAAAATATTGTGTTTTTTCCCACAGAAAAAAAACAAAATTACTTTCTGAACAATTCAATACAATTTGATTTAGATAGCATTTATAAAGATTTGTACATTTATGTTCATGCAGAAATATTTTAATTAATTTAAAGTTTAGAAAAGAAAGTTCAGTTTCATTTAAAATAATAAATTAGTTTCTTTTAAAGTTATATAATTTATTAGACAAATTTATTGTATTTTTAACAAAATTATGATCAGAAATAACACCCATTGGTTTTTCAAAAATTTCTTGTTNTATCTAAACTTTTTAACAATTCTATAACATTTTAACTCATTTAACTTTTTGTCTTAAACTTCAAAAATCATGTTACTTTTAATTTTATTCAAAATTTTAGATTTACGATGTATTTTATTTCTGCTTTCAAATATTATAAAGTATGTGCATAGTGCATTTGTTTTTAGATTGAGATATTTTAGGCTGTTGTCTCCCACTTGTACAATTCACAAATATAATAAAACTTGAGTTTAGAAGATGCTTGAAATTATCAGAGAAAAAAATTGGGTTCTGGCATAGAAATACAACTAGTAATATATTTTTATCTTGATATTTCTGCATTCTGTAGATAACAGATAGAAATTTCTTAATTTTCTTCTTCTCCAAAAGTTTTTTTAAATGGACAATACAATGTATTACACACTTCTCATAAATATCAGCTAAAAAATATCATGCTTATCTTCAATGCCATCATTTCATAGAATTTGTATGTCATTAAACTTGTCAGACAAAGTTTTAATAGTTCCATTTTTAGATAGTACATTTGGTAAATTGATGCATTTCTCCCTTGTTTAAGAAATGCATTTAAGAAACTCTGAAATTTTGAAAAGGGAAGGAATAACAATAGAACAAATCAAATGAATTGAGTTGGGAAAATTGGCAAATATCCTGCTTTAGAAGCATAAATAGTGTAATCATTAATGTCACCTGCATAGCTTATAGTTGTGATCTTCATTCCATATCTTTAAGATTTCTATAAATTAATAATTAATTTCTAATTATTATCTAATTGATATAAATGTTATTTGACATCTTTAGTGCTAAATTATATTAGTTAAATATCTCAAAAAACAGCCCTACAGCATAAAAATAGTCTTATCTCATAAAAAGTAGCCCTGAGTTAAGTGGACAAAGTCTCTGGTTTTAGTAAATCCAGGTTTTTTGTATTATACATTAATGCTTAATTATAAGTGTTAAATTAATTTTTAAAAAGCTTGAATAAATAACTCTCTTTTTAGCTTATATTATCATCATAAGTTTAAAAAAAGGAGTCACTTATATGAAAATGGTAATTAGTTACATTGAACGGGATATCAATTTTCAAAAAAGATAAAATTAGTTTGGATAATATTATTAAAGTTTTATTAAAGACAGTACATCAGCTTTTATAAGAAACCAAACTATTTTTCTTAATTTTTTGCATACTTTTAAATATTTTATTTAATAAGAATCTCTCTCTCTTTTTAGTGTATGGTGCAATTTTAAACTCTGATTTCAAGAATATAATTTTGTTGAATATAAACTAATAATAATGTTTTTAATTTTAAGATTTCCTTTTATGAATTTAAGAGAAGATGAAGTTGCTCTATTTGATTATACTGGTGCAGGATATATATCTGCTCGTAATTTGGTTGCTGCTCAACAAGAAATTTCAAGAAGACAGGGATGCACCATAATAAGAGATGTTGTTTCCTCAATTGAAGAATTCAATCATAGTAATGATAACATAGTTTTGAAGGTTAGTGAGTTAATATTTATCTGTTTGAAGAAGAAAGCTTTATTTTTTCATTATGAAGTAAAATCAAACATTAAAAATAAAAAATATGACAAAATCATATATAAATATATGAAACCATCAAAAAACATATTTTTCACCTTATTCTTGGATTTTTTTTTTTCTTTCATTTTTAATGTTTATAGTACAGTAAAACCTCGATTATCCAGACTAGTTGGGGATGAAGGTAGTCCGGATAAGGAAAAATTCAAATAATCGAAACAAATACTTTAATTTGTCTTTTAATGATAATACAACACGTTTTCTTTTCGATGACATATCGGTAATAAAAATAAATACTGTATTTAAATCGTGATCAAATTTTCAAGAAACAAATGTTTGTATTGAATTTGGACTACTACTGACCAGCGCTAACAGACGACCTATTGTTTAAAAGGCCCTCTGGTGGTGCAAGAAGACAGATTTTATAAAATAGAAAGCAGTTGAAACTGCATTTTTATGAATAAAAATTTGACAAACTATTTATCGTTTTATGATGATTAAAATTTTTTTGTTGTGTTCGCGGCTTTTAAGTAATGCATAAACCTTCGAGGCGCGAGGCCCTTCGGATCGCGAGGCATAGGCAGTGGCCCATGTCGTCTATGTCTTACGTCACCCTTGGTCATAGAAATGATGTAATTTGAATATAAATTATTTATAAATACGTATGTCAAGTTATATTTTTATTACGACGTAAAATATATTTAAGAGTTTATGACCACTGTGCTGGGTGAGATGCTGTTGAAACAAAAAAAGTTATGCATTCCATCATGTGCATAAACAGTGTCGTAATTCGCCAAGTGCAAATCAGCAAATTCATAAAATTTTTGTTTATTTTGAACAATTCGGATAATCGAAAATCCGGATAATAGAGGTCCGGATAATCAAGGTTCTACTGTATTTGTATTCATTTACTGTACATTCACATTACTGTACCTTTATCAGCTCTTTAAAGAAAAGTTCTGTACTTTGTGATAAATATAATTTTAGGTATGAAAAAAATGATTTTTAGTTTTTCTCACTTTTTTCTTTTTTTGACATATATAGTGTTACTCAACTTATCAGTTATTTAATTTTTGTCACTTTATAGATTACAGATTATGTTACGTACATTATATTATAATTTTCCATTACCTTTTACTTCATGATGAGTGTATATAAAGATTTGTAACCAAAGAAAATAAGATTCTGCTCATAAAAGTAGCTGTCATGAGTTGTCTTCCAAACATTCCACGGCTAACAAACAAGGTTTTTAAATTGATAAAATTAGTCATAAATTATGGGTTTTTACTAAACTGATGGCAGCCAAAATAGTAACACAAGTTAGTTAATTGAAAATACATCTGGTGAAAGTAGAAATTCAATTAAAACAATTTATAAATTTTCCATTTATAAATTAAAAGCATTTATTTTTTAAAGAAATTGTGACATCAAGGCTAAAAATAAAAATTTATCATCATTTTCATTAATACCTGTAATTTATAAATTTGAAGTAAATTATTAAATTTTCTTTTTAATTCAATTATCATGTTTCTTTAAATTTTTTGGGACAGTTTCAAGAAATTATTATATTACTTGGAATTACTTTCTATTCTGCTTTCAATAATTTTTATTGGAATTTGTTTTTAATTCAAACATGTTAAAATTGTGAAAAGTATGAATTTTATTATTTGTAGGAAAAGCATTAAAACATCTCTTATCAAGGCTAAAAACAATTAAGTAATTTTTAACATTTTCATTAATACCATAGAAGAGAGCTAGTAAATGTTGTTATATTACAAGAAGAAAAAAGTTTGTGTTTTGCATACAGTACAGGACTAAATATCTGGCAGACTTGAGACCAGAAGTGGTCCATATTTATGGATTTTCTGGTTTTCTGGACATAGATAGGCTAAATGTATACTTAAAATACAAAATAAAAAATTGAAAGTAAAGAATGAAATTGTATTTAACACACTGTATGCCAGCAGTCACACTGTAATTCTCAGTGATTCTCAACCACTGTGTCGCAAGATTTTTGAAGTGTGCCGCCACTGCGAATATCAATACATAAGCAACGTCAGACAAGTAGTTTAATCAGTTCTACCTTCCTAAGGTGTGTTTGGAAATCGTAACTGGTGTTACTGGTTAGTTACTAAGGCATTTAGAAAACATGGCCTAAATAACCAACTGCGTTTAAAAATCAGTTGTGACATCACTGGTTCTGCAGTGCTTACCGAAGTGACCATGTGTGCTGCCAATTTTTAAATTATTAAAAGTGTACCATGACGAAAAAAGGTTGAGAATCACTGCTGTAACTGGTAATCATATGATGCATGTTTTACAGAACTGTGAGAATACAAGGGTATGAGAGTAGACTCAGAAACCCTCTAGTCATTATAACCATTAGATCTACTCACGGGGTCACTGGATGGCATGTAGGAGGGCTATTATTCAAGTGGGGAGGAAGTCACGGGGTGAATGTCTGTACTTGGGAAAGGATCAACAGGTTAACAATAACAAAAAGGATTTAATGAGTAAAATAAAACAAAGAAGTACACAAAGCGAGATATGTAATATAACCTATCATAAATCGAGCCTATCTCTAAAACATGAGAGACAGTTTACAATAAGTTTAAAATAATAATAATCTCTGTCGATCAAACTTGGAGAATTTGAGATGAATGCTGGGAAAGTTGGAATGGCAAATCTCTTCTGTTGCTCTTCTTATGGCAGCTTCCTTCTGGTTATGGACTGCTGTCAATATGCCATGTTCCTAATTCTCATGGACTGCCTGTCAAGTATGGCAAATTTCTTCTTCTGTAGACTGCCTGTTGTTTATGGCATGTTCGAATTAATCAGGAACTGCCCTGAACTCGTGAATTTTTCCTGTATTTTCTCAGTTCCCACCAGTCAGATTGTAAGATTCTAATCATCTGACCAGACACACATCTGACACAAGAGAGATGTTCATCAGATAAATTAGATAAGAAGTTTCTAATGCACACAAAATGACAATTTTTGATCTATTTTATAGATGAGATATTACATAGATTTTCAAATAAATTGCTCTCTGCTCTTGCATTCTCACAGAACCAAAACAAAGTAGATGCATAGCGAACTACGGTATGCCAAATTCAAAACTAATTAGTTCCAAAAATAATTGGTTTTCTGAAAGGCAGATATTTGGTCCAATACTGTATCTAATTCAATCGTTCATTTTTGTAATTTTTGAAAGGACATGCCAATATGATTAATAACAGCTGTTAATATGATTTATCATATTGATTTTATAAATTTTTAAAATTTAACTCTAAAAATGATGATTAAATATTTTGAATTACTGTACCACTGTACTGTATTTAAGTAGTAAAATTTATTATTATTATTATTATTATTATTATTATTATTATTATTTTGTTATGGAATTAATTGAATTAATAGTTTATATTTTAAAGCTTTATTCGTAAAATTATAAAATCAGTCGTCATTAATTACTCGATATTTTTATAGCTAAAGTGATCGGATTCTGAAATGTAAATAGTGGTACTGTACATTAGGTGCTTCACACTCAAGAACCTTAAGAATCCAGTAATAACACTTTAATGGAAAACTAACATTTTCGACCATACCTGGACTTCCTCAGGTTTTTAAAACCAGTAAAATTCAAACTTGGAATGCAAAGAACAATATTTACAAATTATTTTTTTAAAAACCTATGGAACATGTTCAAAATTATTTTAAAATCTATGGAACAATCTAATCACGTGTATACAATTCTTATCCATGTATATTACCATGGTGATAGAACTTTATCAATACCATAAACAGTGAATAATATGATATAAATAAAGGTACAGAAAAAGGTTTCTAACTGCTGGTGTTGCCTGTTTTTTCATAACAGTACCTCCATGCATAGGAAACCTTAATGGCATCATTTGTGTTAATACAGTTGCCATGTAAGTCGGCTTTGTAAATTTCTAATACCTCAAGGTTTCAAAGGTGTTCAATTCGATGTGACAATCTGACCAGTTTGGCTTTATGAAGGTCGGCCTGTATGTCAGGGTCTGTGGCGTAGGTGGATAGGGCAGTGGTGTTCCTTTTCTTAGTGATATCATATCTGTACTCCTGTAATATTTTACTTAGAGAATGCTTTGTGGACCCAATGTATACTAAATCCCTTTGAAATCTGTCGTCTCAGAGGGGAACCATGTATACACCTGGTGCCCAACCTTTGTCAGTCCTGTCGTTGCCATTGCACAATAATCCATATACAATGTTGGATCTCCTATAGGCAATCTTTGTGCTCATACAGGCACAAAACTTGCCTATAGTTTTCCATTAAAGTATTATTGGATTCTTAAAGTTCTCGAGTGTGAAGTATACATTCCAGTAATCCTGTAAGAAGTTGTTTTAATATATTATAAGCTATGCTGGCTAAGTTATACAAGAAATTGCTACTAGCCTTGACTAGGCTAAGGATAAGTTTAGATTCCTTGTGAAATGCCAGATAAACAATGTATATGGGCTATTATGCAACGGCAAAGACAGGACTGACAAAAGTTGGGCACTGGATGTATACATGGTTCCCCTCAGAGACAACAGATTTCAAAGGGATTTAGTATACATTGGGTCCACAAAGCATTCTCTAAGTAAAATATCACTAAGTAAAGGAACACCACTGCCCTATCCACCTACGCCACAGACCTTGACATACAGGCCGACCTTCATAAAGCCAAACTGGTCAGATTGTCACATCGAATTGAACATCTTTGAAACCTTGAGGCATTAGAAATTTACAAAGCCAGCTTACATGGCAACTGTATTAACACAAATGATGCCATTAAGGTTTCCTATGCATGGAGGTACTGTTATGAAAAAACAGGCAACACCAGCAGTTAGCAACCTTTTTCTGTACCTTTATTTACATCATATTATTCACTGTTTATGGTATTGATGAAGATCTATCACCATGGTATTGACTGTAAAAATCGAACGATACCATGGTATCATTCAATTTTTACAGTCTTTTTTAACCACTTGTTTTTTATTTTGTTTTTTCTTTTTCTTGAGAAAGATCATTTAACGTGACCAAAAACATTTGGAAGTAATAAACTTGGGCTGCACGTTCACAAGGTGTCATAGTAAGTCTTTTAGTATTGAATAATATGCAGTCTTGAACCAATAAATAATTCAATGATCTCACAAAAATCACAAAAAATAATAATTTTTTCTTAAAATGTATAAAAATTTAAAATGAAATGATTATTCAAACCAATTAGATAATCCTGAAATGAAGATGAATTGGGGTTTGACTATATTCTTATTTATATACTGGTGGAAATTGAAAGTGTTACACCCAGATAGAATTGGTGGAAATTCACGAAACTTAGTAAACATGTACAGGGTCATATCCAGAAGAAATGAACACAATATGAAATGAATTAAGTAAGGTTTTATTGCTGTTTGGTACATGTTTCAGTAAGTGGTATGCCCACCTTGAGCATGGATACATTCTTGGATCCTTGTAGGCATTGAATCAATAAGTGCTTGAATGTCTTTTTGGGGTATGTCTCTCCATGCCTGCACAACTTGTGCAGTCAGTTGTTGTACAGTGCTCACTAGATGGCTATAAGATGTAATCTGTCTACCCATGACATTCCAGACATGCTCGATAGGGGATAAATCTGAAGACCAGGTGGGCCAGCCCATGATTGTGACACTTTGCAAGGCCTGTCTTGTGATGGCAGCAGCATTCTTAGCATTCTTAGCATAAAAGGAGATGAAAACCCAGGCTACTCATAGGTATTGCCTGGGTGTGAAAAGAGAAGAGGAAAAGAGGGAGTGAGGGGAAAGTAAGAGGAGGGTGGAAGATGTAAAAAGAAAAGGGAGATAGGATAGTTGGTGAAGGAGGGAGTCCCATGAGTGTTCTGCATTGGCATTTATGGAAATATATACAAAATAATATAAGATGAAATGAGATACAAAATAGATAACGTAGTAGTTAAGATAAAGTAAAAGTACAAAACTATAGAGCTAATTACATAGGATAGGTAAATGAAATACAATGATATATAATACAGTACAAAATTATTAGTTGGTGTAACAATTGCGACAAAGAATAAAATGTGATAATGTACATACAATTCGATACAAAGAATGAAATACGGAAATAATTATACAATATTATAAATGAAATAAAGTGTACAGAACTAGTGAACAAATTACATTATATGTATAATAATATAAGATAAAATAAAGTGTATAGAACTAATGAACAAATTACATTATATCTATAATAATATAAGATGAAATAAATTAATATACTGTAAAGGAACTAACAAACAAAATCACGACATGTAAATAATATTTAGGAATAAATACAATTAAAAATAAATACAATTATAAATACAGAAAGGTTATATAAAATTATTAGGGGATAAAATACACAGAAACTATTGAACTAATTACATAAAAATACTTAAATAAGATACAAGTAAGTAATACAGAACAATAACTGTTAACAGAATAGTAATCGCGACAATGAAGTTATGTACATACAGTTCAATATAGAATTTAAAATAAAGTACAATATACAGAAACTATTATGATAAGAATAATTAGATAAAATAAAATCAAATTAAATACTATACAAAAACTAGTGACCAACAATACATTATGTTAAATATTAAATCTAGGAATACAGACAAGCAAATACATTGTAAAGAATTGTGCTCGACATACAAAATTTTGCTGGCATGTATTAACATAAATTAATATACCACATGCAAAAATGTAAATCCGTATATTACAATATCACAATCTGGATTGCATAGTAAAAGTCTTAATTGGACTTCATTTCACCACAGTTCAAAATTGTAGTCTTGGACAAATTATCATAACACAATAGTTATAAAGCTGTAATATACAGTATAATATCACTGTTGCATAATAAGAGTTATAATTAACTTGCACCACAGTAAAAGGACCATATAAGCCGCTTCTGTGTAGACACAAGAGATCCGATGAATAGCTGAGTTGTAATTGTAACTCAAACTTAATGAACACATCATCGAAACATATAAGCACCCACTATATTAATGTAACTAAGTACATTAACTGAATGAGGGTTCTAATGCACCAGTATTTTTGATAAAGTTTTCAAGAGTAGCGAAGATATCCTTATCCTCCACCAATATCTTCATTGGGCATGGCCAGTTGAAACCTTTCTCCAAGACTATCCTCTCCAAAGCGGTTCGTTGATCATCAAATTTAAAACAGTCAAAAATAAGATGATAAGCATTTTGGATGCTGGTATGGTCACATTCACAGAGAGGGTGATCACGATGCCCAAAACGGTGTAAATAGTATTGGAAGTTCCCATGATCCGTTATAATTTGAGTTGTGTAGAAATTGGTATTAAAGTTTTTATTCCGTAGTCTAGTTGATATGTCAGGAAAGAACCGGAAAGTTGTCCTCCCTGTTTCACCTTCCTCCCACTCACGTTGCCAGATCTGTATTGCTGTATTGTGAATAACATTTTTGATTATAATATAAGAAACTTCCCAGTAAGAGGGAGTGACATTGGATGTAGCGGCTTGCTTAGCCATGAAGTCTGCCATGTTATTCCCTTCGTTGCCGGAATGGCCTTTTATCCATGAAAAGGTCACTTTGTTGTTTGTACTATTTATTTCATTACGAATTAAAGTAGCGAGGGTTCCTTTATTATTTACTATTCTCTTGATAGCAGCCTGACTGTCAGAGCAAATCTTGATATGCTTATTTTTAATTTTAGTTTTATTAATATGTTTTGCTGCCTGAAGAATTGCAAACAACTCTGCTTGTGTGATTGTACAGACGTCAGCAAGCTTAAAGCAAGCTTTATAAGAGATATTATCTTTGGAATCCCTGACCACAAAAGCAGATCCCACCTTACTGTTATTTTTGGATCCATCAGTAAAAATCCTGAATTGTGATATAGGATCATCATTATAGTCCGTTACCTTAATATCTTCTGTTAAGCTTGGATGTAATTTATTAGTTATCATTTCCTCCTTCAAATTTGATTTCAAAGTATTAAGAAGGTATTCATTAAGATTAGGAAATAACCCAATTTGAATATATTTATATATTTCACTATTCTGATTGTCTATAATTCCTCCATTTTTAAGGTGCCACTTCCACATTTCTTCTTTTGCCCTTATATGTAGAGGCAGTACACCAGACAAGACTTGTAGGGCAGCTGTCGGGGCCGTTCTATATGCCCTGCATAACCTTAGTAACATTAATCTTTGGGCTTTGTTTAACTTTTTCTTAGTACGGGTATTGTCTACCATCTCAGCCCAGAACGGAGCACCATAGAGTATAATTGTTTCAATACACGCTTTATATATAATTTTGAT